ACCAGATGCAGGCACTTGCATACAAATTTGTTTATGCACAAGTACTGCACACATGCATATCACATTGTATCCATTTCTTCGGCCATTCCTACCTCCATTCCCACAAATATTTCCACTTCCATTCCCACCTCCATTCCTCTCTCCATTCCTACAGGCAATCCTATACCAGTCCTACATCCAAACCTACCTCCAATCCTACTTCCAATCCTACCTCTAATCCCACATCCAATCCACTTCCAATCCCACTTCCAATCCTCTCTCCATTCCTAGAGCAATCCTACATAAATTTTAAAACCCTACTACAATCCTACTTCCAATCCTACCTCCAATCCTACTTCCAATCCTACCTCCAATCCTACTTCCAATCCTACCTCCATTCCTAGAGCAATCCTACATAAATTTTAAAACCCTACTACAATCCTATGATCCTCATTAACCCTATAGAATCCACCCCTCAGTCCCCCCATAGAAAACATATGCAGAAGTAAACAAGAGTACCTCAGCAGTACCACCCATTTACTAGTAATCATATGTATCAACTGTCTGTTTAATTCTAGTGTTCTTTGCCCTAAACATGATTTTTGTATTTCTAAAAAATATGCAAGTACTACTCTGCCAGAGCAATTTCAAAGGCAGAGCATATTGCTCCAGTGGTGGTGTTTTAAAGAGGAATACATTGCCTCGGTGCCATTTTAATAAAAAAAACAATTGCCCCGGCGGTGTCATTTTTGAAATAAAATAAAATACATTGCTCCGGCGGTGCCATTTCGAAAAGTAATACATTGCCCCGGCGGTGCCATTTTAAAAAATAATACATTGTGCCAGCGGTGCCATTTTTAAAAAAATGCATTGCTCCGGCGGTGCCATTTTAAAAAGTAATACATTGTGCCGGCGGTGCCATTTTAAAAAATAATACATTGTGCCAGCGGTGCCATTTTAAAAAGAATACATTGCTCTGGCAGTGCCATTTTAAAAAGTAATACATTGTGCTGGCAGTGCCACCTAAAAAAAATACATTTCTCTGGCAGTGCCAATTTAAAAAATAATACATTGTGCCGGCGGTGAAAAAAATACATTGGTCTTGCGGTGCCTCTTTGAAAAAACTGCACTGCTGCAACAGAGCTTTATTATATATATATATATTGCTCTAGACCTCCAACACAGCTATTCAAAAAGTGTCTCTTATGAAAAGGCAATGTGTTTTTATTGGAAGGTGTTCTGCTGGTGTGTTATATTCAGCTGTATATCTGGGGGGACATGATATGGACAATAGTTAATGAAGACTGCTTGTGTTTCAAAAGAAATTACAGTATCTCATCACCTTGCAGTAGGACTCTCATTGTGATTAATCATTCAGTATATTTTTCAGTTGTAATGGCTCACATTCATGACATTTAACTGATGACTGCAGCCCTATCACTATGTATGATCACCATCTATGTTTACATGGTACGCCGCAACTTGTGCCGCCAGAGGACAGGGTACACCGCAACTCTCCCCGCCGGGCATCAGGACATCTCCGCCGGTGAGACACTACGCCGTCGGTTAAAAGGACAGCCAGCGCATGCTACTTAGTGAGTCCCTGTAAGGATCACGGCCGCACCATCACTAAAGGCACATCATAAGATTCGGGCCGTCCGGCTGGGCCCATGTAGTATGGTGTTTTGTCACATCCGGCTACTCCATTAGGTAAGGCACAATGTGACTAACATATGTGGTTCACGTCCTCCCTGAACACCCCTTGCCCTCGAGATATCCCTCTGAATCATTAGCCCGTAAAGAGCCAGGTGTATTGTCTCAGATCGGCGAATCTGGGGCTGCGTCTGTCGAGTTGGATGAGCAGTGCGAATTGATCACGTCTTTGACTGCACGGGTGTCTATCACCAACGAGGACTCTGCGCGGCTGTTCAGTGAAGCCGGCGGTAAAGTCGTTCCGCAAATCATGCAGCTCTCGCCTTGTATCATGAGAGTTGCACTGGGTGACCAAACCCAGGATATAGTGTATCCTTTCCCTGTCGCGGGCAGTGGGCATCGGCTGCGGCTCGCTCGGAAGTCACGATATATTGAGGTACGTACATATTTATCACTGATTCTTGAAGTTCTACGTCTGAACTTCCGCTTCCGCCTTATAAGGTCGTTGTACCGACCTCCAGATCACTCATGCCGGATGGAATGAAGCTGAATCCGTTTCCCGTCATCAACTCGAAAGGACTGCTCCATACATGGAGCATCCATCGGGTTAATCTATTCGCCTTGCCCGTCCTTGACGTCAAGGTCAGAAATATTAAGGAATGGCTCATCCCCCACGTCGCCTTCACGATGTCCGCTCGCGAACTATCACTCAGGAAGAAACACCAAGTTGACACTCTCATGTTCGTCAAAGACACCCTCCAGTCTATTTTCGTTGGCGCTTCAGGAGTCCAAGGTGGTTCTGTGCATCGTCTATTTGCTCTCCGCGATAAGAAGACAAATAATTGTGATACCTGCATCTTTGTCGATGAACTTCGTTACGACCTGGCGGCTCATACACTTATCTGCGACGGGTACATCCTCCCTCTGACAGCGAGGATAATAATGGAGAATGAGAAGCCTTTCGCGAAGCTGGTTCACCAAGGGAAAATGAGCTATATTGATGTGCTTGAAGGCGAGATGCAGGCATGGAAGCAGCTCTTGCCCGCTTTTGTGGAGAGGTGCCGGTCTTCCTGGACGCATGGGGCGAATTGTGAATATATCGCTCAAGGCCGCATCCCACTCACAGAGGATATGGAGGCAGACCCACTCTGTAGTTGCGGAAGAGGGAAGGACGTCGAAGGGATGCATAAAGTCGAACTATGGAAGACATTCGCACCATACGTCACACGGATTGCGATTTCGCCATTGTTCGCGGTGTCTTATCTTGAGACTGTGGGTCGGGATCCGGACGCTCACAAGTGTCGTTCATGCAGAAGGAAAGCGAAACCGAAGATCAAAGTATGCGCGGGGTGCCAGAAGGTGCGATATTGTTCCTCAGAGTGTCAGAAGAAGGACTGGAAGGCACATAAGCCGAAGTGCAAGCCTTGATTGGTGACCGATTTTTGAGCCTGACAAAGCGTTTATCACAACTGTGTACTAGTAGCGCAAGAATTATTATACATTGAATCCAGAGCGAGATATTAAATTTTATGTGCCAAAAGTTTCGAGAAGGATACTATCTCTACAGTGCTTTGGTTCATTAATGCAATTGGGGAGCTGGCTCCCCTTTTTCTTTCGGTTGGGCCTCCAAATGCTTATCGCACGACGTATTCACACCCACCACTTACAACGACATTTTCTAAACGCCATCATTCATTCAATACACTGTCAAATAGCTAGCCGAAAATGTAGAAAACAACACCAGGTAATCAAACCCCAAACGGCAGGTTCAACGAGCTCGAACTCGACTGACCCCCCTTTGCCTTTTTCCCGCTCCTCCTTCCCTCTTCCCCCTCCCCCTCGCCCTCCGCCGCTGCCCTCCTCTTCCTCTTCCCACCCCCCGCGGTACTCGCGCTCTCCCCCCTCGCCGTTCCTCCATTAACAACAGCAACGGCATCCAACCGTTCCATATACTCACTCCTCTCCATATCCGTCTCCACCCCCGCAATCATCACGCTGCCCAATTGTTTCTGGATTTCGGAAAGCCGTCGTTGAACACGACTTCGCCCCATTTCGCTCGAGTTTATTTCTAGGTCTGAGAGGAGCTTGAGGAGTAGGACTTGCACGCCGTGCGTTAAGATCGTTTGTCTGAATCTTGACGATTTCAGCGCTGTATCAAATCAAATCAGTCATCGTCGTCAAAACAAAAGAAAGAAAGAAGAAACCGACCATCCATCTCATCTTTCAACTCCCTCAACTCCCTCTCCCCATCCTCATCCAACGCAACAGGCGTATACCGTCCCATATCAAGCCTCCCAACACCCTTCTCCCTCTCCCTCCTCTCCTTTTCCTTCTCCCGCGTCTCCTTCTCCCTCTCTCGGAGCTCACGTTCCTTCTCCCTCATATCCTTTTCGCGCTCTTTAACCCCCCTCTCGCGCTCCTTGACCCCCTTTTCCCGATCGCGTACTTCCAGTTCGCGCTGCGCACATTCTTGTTCCCTAGATCCGATATCCTTCTCGCGGTCGTCGAGTTCCTCGTCGTGTGGGTGTGGTTGATCATCAGCTTGAACTTGAATCCCAACCTCACACATCGACGTCCCCTCCCCCCGCTTCCTCACCATCCCCTCCAACTCATCCACTCTAAGCCGATACAACCTCCCCTCCTCAATCCTCATCCTCTCTTCCTGTATCCTCAACTGTTCCTGGATGCGTAACCTTCTCTCAAGATCTTCCACCCTCCTCGCATCCAACACGCGGTTCTCGTCTTCGCTACGTTCCGATAAGCGATTGGTGAGATCCTGGATTTGAACGTCCTGTTCTAGGATACGAGCGTCCCGTTCCTTAAGACGCAGTTCCCGTTCTTTAACGCGTGCAGAGAGCTTATCGCGCTCTTCTGAAATCCATGAGTCCCGCCTCTGTTCGAGCCTAGCTTCGAGTTCCTCGATACGTGCATCCCGTTCACGAAGACGGTCCTCCCCCTTTGTCGGATCCTGAAGTAGAGCGTGCAGCCCCTCAACACGAGACTCCAGCTCTTCCAGCCGCGTATCCCATTCTTTCAGAAGCCCATCAAGCTCCTGTACACGGGCCTCGCGCTCTTTAAGCAGCGCATCACGTTCCTTCAGCTCCCTAGACCCTCCTTCGTTAAGTCGGGCGGTAGACTCCTCCAAACGTTTATCCGAGTCCCTGAGTTGGCCTTCGAGTAACCTCGCACGAGCATCGCCTCTTACGCGGTATTCGTGCTGTTTCTTGAGGGCCCTGTCCCGCTCTTTGAGTGTCGCTTCGAGTTCCTGGACTCTACGTTTGAGGTCTACGGGGGTGACAGTTCCATTGACGGGGGTGCTCCCCGCTGTGCGAGGAGGAGGAGGAGGAAGGAATGAACCGCTTAAGCATTTCACGCCAAGCCCTGCTAGTTCCTGGGCGGTATTACTGTGGTTAGGTTACGAGTGACGATGACGCCGAAGGAGGGAGTGGGGGGAACGGGATTCTTGGTACGAAAAACGTTGTCGAGGGAGGCGGACATAACTGAGACCATCCTTCAAGGGTGAGATGGCTGCCTGGGGTGCGTGATGGTGGTAATTGGAAGTTGTTGGTGCTCTAGATGTCGATGGAATCGCAGCGGAAGTCGAGGGTGGGTGATCTTCTTCGAACTCGACAAACTCTCTAAGTCAGACTCGAACCCTGGGACAGGCAGTGGTCCAGCAGACGCTGACGCGGACGTTCGAGCAATGGGTTGTCCGTTTTGTTGTTCCTTAGCAGCAGCCATAGACGCCGACCTCGCAGACCTCCTCTCCCTATCCTTCACCTTCCTCTCCCACGCCTTCCTCGACGAACACTTCCAAGTGTTCGACGCAGCCCCTCCCGCGCACTTCCTCGTAAAGTTAATTTGATACCGCTCGTACGTCTCATTCGAGATGCCCAAATCCCCAGTGACAGTTTCCATCATGAACTTGATGGACCGAGGACACGAACGATGTCGGTCTTTACGCGTCTTACACGCGACTCGTTCGACGTCGCAGATCCGTTTACTAGGGTCCTGGGCACAGTACTCGCATGTCTACCACAAAGCCCAACGTCAGCTTCACATCCAAGAAGAAACGGAAGGAAAAGAAACAAACCGGACTGCCAAGCGTGTCTAACCATTGTTTCTGTCGTTCCCTGCCACCAGACGAACTTTTGAGGTTCGTGAATTGGACTCTAGAGCACGTGTTAACCTCGATTCGACAAATTTGTTGGTCACGTTTTTCTTTTCAACTTCAAGTCAAGGTCCGAACTTCTTCTTCACTCCTACCACTCCTACTCTGCCTAATACCCCTCTCAGAAATCATAACACAACCCGCGAAATTCGCAGCCCAGCGTATCTGTCCTGTCCAACAATGCTCGCGTGCAGGTCGTGCATTCCACCACGTACACAGCCAGCGCGCCTGTGGTTCGTCTCGCACAATACTTTGTGCATGAAACTCCTTGGCTGAATGTACGCGTACGTGAGTGTTTACTTTGGCAGTTTTGTTGGTTTTTTTCTGGCTTCGCACCATTCCTGGGTTTCCGTTCATTCGTCTTTTACATTCATTCTAGTGTCCGAATTTGATCACGACACCACTAGGATCTGTCTAACCACTATATTTTCCGATTGAACCACCTTAACTCGTTATCACTTGGAATGCTACCTATTCTTTTCTTCATCTCGAGGCGTCCGTAATGGGTATTGCTGTGCACTTTTCATGTTAGATCCGTAAGGATTCGCATTCTCCTTCAATGTTCACTTACCGCACGTTTACATTCTATCCTCACCACATTTTCGGCTCCGCGTGTTGGGTCTTACTTACTAGCCTCTCTCTTTCAATAGGAGCGCGGTTCTCGCATACGCACTATCGACACTCAAGGTCAAACACGTAGTCGTACTGGGGCATTACGGATGCGGAGGCGTAGCCGCCTCTATGCTCCCGTTCCAGTCTCCACTACAACCACCAACTGTAGACGCGGAGAAGCAAGGACTGCAGTTCAGTCCTGCGAATTTGGCGGTCCAGAGCTGGATACATAATATTCGGGATTTGTATGAGACATCTGAGCGGTAAGCACTTTCCTTCTCTTCTTTTTTGTTTTGTTTGGTTGATTTGAAGATGGATTGTAGGCCGGAGATTGTACGTCATCGGAAAGAACAGCCGCGCATGGAGGAGTTGCCTCATTTACATTTTCGTACGTTTGTCAAGCACCCGTTTTCATGGACAGTACTGAGATTTATTTGGTTAGCTGCGTTCCGCGCTCTGGTGGAAGAGAATGTCAAGGCAAACCTGAAGAGGATCAGTGATTCAGCGTTGATTCGACATGTGAGTCACTTCCTTTTCCCATTGTTGTGTTCTTCGCGGACTAATAAAAGTAATCAACAGCACTACGCACATGATCAAGGCACAGTGTACATCCATGGCTGGGTGTACGACGTGGAGAGCGGAGAGGTGTCTAATTTGGGCGTCTCCGCTGGTCCGCCTGGGAAGGAGGTTCCGCCCACGCTGTTTCCTTTGGTTGGTTCATCGGCCTTTGGAAAATAGATGTACCCAGTAAATTTAGGCAGTATACCGATCTTTTCATAGACTCACTTTTTTGTGTTTATGATCAAGTTACTCTTGTCCGGCTCTACTAATGAAGTCACGGTGTTCGCGGTAAGTATCAATCCTTCTTGGGTGGTAGGCTGGTAAACTTCCGTGGATATGTGCTTGCTCTCCGGCTGCCAATGGCGTTGGGTAATTGATAGCGCGAGTGTCGAACCTCGGAAGAGAGGGTTTGGCCAGCTTCCAAATTAAGTAGAGGTAGGCACGCATGCATATGCATATTGTCTTACAACCCCAACCCATCCATCGCGCTCTCGCTTAAGGATTACAAGTTTACGTCGAGCAACTGGACGGTGTCCGATGCGGATCATGGGAGACTGAGCCTAACAATATTCAAGTTGAACTAGGGACCCTGGTTCCCTGATAAAAATATAGGATTCCAATAGGCTACACAAGATTAAGTCCACCCATATCCGCACCAAAAATAAGATCATGTATTCCTGCCTCAGAATGTCGTAAATCTGGAAAATAGAAGCCCGTTAATGAAGCCGTGAACTCCGACCTAAAAATTACTGACCGCTAGAATCAGGTACATATTCCAGAGTCGTCACGCCCCAACGTATCCAGTGGCGTTTAGGTATATCTGAGAGAAGGAGCGGCTCCCATTTGTCGACAAGAGCACGAGCTCTCTCCTTGAAATTGTAGGCCTCGACCTGAGGAAGACCGCTTGCCACCATATTGCCCACTTCCTTCATCACAATATGAATCCCGGAATGCTACAATGTCAATCGATCAAAGGTCAGATATACATCATCCACAGATTTAAAAAAAGACGCACATAAATATACTTGGCGTCCGAGAACTCGTAGCTCTCCAGCGTCCGGAAATGAATCCCTAGACGATGCGTCACTTTCACGTTCATCATCGCCGTATTCCACGAGCCTGCCCGACTAGGTGTCATCCAGTTAATCAGCTCCTTCTCAAGGTCCGTTCTCCATTCCCCAATCACCCCTGCAAGCGTTCTATCCACCTTATCCCAGCCTTCCAGCACGCACTGTGCTTCAAAACACTCAACTGCATTCGTGAATATCAGCGTTAGAGATTCCAGCGCGACGTTCTCCCTGCGTGAATGCCGACTTAGGATCATATTGTTGAGTTCCCTCACGGGCGTGTCCAGGTGGAGGACGAGCTTTCGGAGGCGGGGCACGACGGAGGGGATTCCGGGGATAGCGACGAGGCGTTCTAGGTCGTCGGTTGTGAAGTCATTGCATTTGAATTCGGTAAGAAAGGGAGTGAAAAGTAGAATCCTCGTGACACCGCCTTTGATGGGCAAGGAGTGTATGGAGAGCTTCTCCAACGCGCATATCGAACGGAGAGTTAGGTCGATGAGGTCGTCCACTAGTGAGGCGTCTAAAGACCGAACGTGGAGGTCGATAAGAGTGGGTAAGATGAGGCTTGCAATAATCGAGGTGCCCGATACCCATGGATTGTAGAAGTTGAGATGCAACGTAGTCATATTAGTGAGCGTTTTTGGTTGGAGGTGACCTTGGATAGAAACGATAGCCCGCGTAGAGTAAGAGAAATAGCTGATCTCGGAAGAGACGCTGAGGACCTGTATGACGCCGGTAGAATCCGTAGAGCGCTCTGTATATCTCGTCAATTGCTCCCAAGGAATAAGGAGCTGTACCCGCGGGCAATCGATTTCCACCTCTCGCAGCATGGGAGCGATGCTGAACGCTTCAAGGACATAGTCCTCATCGTGTGGCATTCGAACAGTTATTTTGAGTGAATATAAGGAGGTCAAACGATGCCGGATGAACTGCGTAAGTGCCCTAAAATCGCGCACTTCAAGATCCATAACAACGATTCGCCACCGCATGCAATGTTTGATGAGGAGTTGAAAGATGGCATGATCAACGACACCATTCTCATCAGAAGAGATGTGTATAGAAAGCGGGTGCTCGCCTGAACGATGGAGGACCTCCTGCAGCACTGGAACAATTTTTTTCCCGTTATCCTTCATTGGCAACCTTATCGGAGGGACAACACCCCAAATCTCCAGAAAAGTCAATGCAACAGCCCTCCACCGGCGTGGCACATGAGCCAAAGTCCACGAGGGGACCGTCCAACACGGTTCCAAATCGTTCGCACAAAAATCGAAAATCTGCGCCAATATCTGGTAGGGCAACCGGCGTACTGGGGATAAAAGACCTTTGTGTTCTTCAAGGAAGTGACTACAAGCGATGTACCGTTGTCGAATCTCTGCATCTCGTGGGTTGGTCTTGATTTCCTGCACAAGCTCCGCAACATCACTTTCGGCCTGGCTGATAGCATGTAAGATGCGAGCTACTTCAGTTTCGTTTGGCTGTCGGTTAGAAGCGCAGAGATCTGGTGTTGGAGATGTTGGTAGAGGGTGCGTTAGTTCTGAAGAATGTCGACCGAATTTGGTTGGAATCTTGAGCTAATGAGAAGCTAAGCAGCGTCGCCTCAAGATTGAACAACATGACATACCTTGCCCATACTTACAATGCGCTTCGCGGAGAAGGGAGGGATTGATTAGAGCGGGAAGCGCAGAGACCTCAGTTTGTCGCGTTTTTGACGTCGTATATCGAAGGTGTTCCGATTTTGAAAGCCAAGAAAACCACGCCCGAGGAAATAGGTGTTCTGGAAATGGGATGAGCTATCATTAGAATGAAATCTATCATTGAGATCGGGGTACTTACCGTAACGGTTGGTCAACGGTCGTTTATCTATGCTGCGCAGCACCTCTTAGCGCCTACTTCCTGCCAGAAACTCTTCACGCCTAATCCGCAGGCTTCATATCACAATCCAAGGAAGCGCACGTCAGTCGACTCGTCTGCGCTGAGCGAGCTTACAACTCGATAGCTAAGGAATTAAGAACAGAGACAAAGCTCGAAAACTTGCGTGGACAGACAAGCCGTAATGAGCGAGAGTCCTGACCTGCACGATAAGAGTAAATATAGTCGATTCACCAGGAGGTCCCGTGGATCTCACCATCAGCGCCTGGAATCAGTCCACGACATTTACGGACTCCCGTGGCTAATCTATCTCACGCAGGCCATGACCTGGGGCCATATGATCCGGGAAGAAGCCACCTGATCCTTGGGTATAGCGCGCCAAGCTATGCAAGGAGGAACGCAGGCTATTTCAAGTAGCCGAGCATGCAACCCTCCACACGAGATTCCAAGGAGATATTGCGGCCTCGCGTTCTTTAAGAAGCGTATCGTGTTTCCAAAGTGTTTCCTCGAGCTCCCTAGACCCCCTTCATTGAGTCGGGTGGTACACTCCTCCAGACGTTTATCCGAGTCCCTTGGTTGACCTTCAAGTAGAGGCGCACGTGCATGGCCGCTTACGCGGTCTTCATGCTGTTTCTTGATGGCCCTGTCCCGCTCTCTGAGCGTCGCTTCAAGTTCTTAGACTCCGCGCTTGAGGTCTACCGGTGTGATAGCTCCATTGACGGGGGTGCTCCCAGTTGTGTGAGGAGGAGAGGGAGTAAGGAAAGAATCACTTGGTCGTTTCACGCCAGAGCCTGCTAGTTCCTGGGTGGTGGGATGGACGGTGCTGCTGCGGTCGCGGGTGACGACGGCGCCGGAGGAGGGAATGGAAGGGACGGGGTTATTGATAGGAGAAATTTGTCGAGAGAGGCGGGCATACTGAGGCACAACTGAGACCATCCTTCGAGCGTGAGGTGGCTGGTGGGTGCGCGTGATGGTAGCAGTTGGAAATTGGGTGCTCTGAATGTCGACGTAGACGTGGATGGGATTGCAGCAGAATTCGAGGAAGGGGGTCGTCTTCGTCGTCATCCAAATGCGACAGACTCTGCAAGTCAGATTCGAGCCCAGGAAGTTGCAACGGCCGACGTGCCAGCAACGGGCTGCCCATTTTGTTGATCCTTGGCAGCAGCCATAGACGCAGACCTAGCAGACCTCCTCTTCCTATCCTTCACCTTCTCTCCCTCGCCTTCCTCGTGTAGCCCTTCCTAGTGCTCGCCGCTGCCACTCCCCCGCCTTTCCTCGTAAAGTTGACTCGATATTGCTCGTAAGTCTCATTTGAGATGCGCAGATCCCCCAGTGACGGTTTCCATCATGAACCTCGGACACGAACGATGTCGGCCTTTCCACGCTCTGCAGGCGACTCATTCAACGTCGCAGATCCGTTAACTTGGGTCCTTAGCGCAGTATTCGCATATCTACTACGATGCACAACGTCAACCTTACATCTAAGTGGAAAACGGAAGGAGAAGAAACGAACCGGATTGCCTAGCGTGTGTAACCATTGTTTCTGTCGTTCCCAGCCACCAAACGAGCTTCTGAGGTTACAGAATAGGTTCTTGAAGTGATTGTACTTTGACATATTAGAGTAGAGCGCGTCTTAGCATCGATTTTCTAGAAGAACTTGGCCACTATAGAATATTGATGGCCATATCTGAGTTCGTATCTACGTCAGAGAAGTCATCAATTTTTTGAACACATAGTAGAACATACTGGACGCTCCAACTTGAATTGCAATTCCTCCTGCAGTGCTTGCCAGTTCTTCGTTTGAGAACGCTGAGATCATCGCAAGAAATGTCACCAAGATGACGTAATCTCAATCTGGTGTTGAAGAAGTCGTCTCTTCTCTTTTCGACAAACGGTCGCAACACAACTCTCGCGGTCAACGTTGGGTCAACACCAAAGTCACTTTCCACATTCTTCAATACCAATATCATCCATCAACGACACCATTCATTCGGGCGACACATCATCAGCCTCCTCCCTGCCATCCTCGTTCATTGTCATGGTTGGAATCGCCCTATCCATGACGTTCGTCATCAGACAAGCCTGGAAGTGTTAGCGCGATTCCCCTTACTCCAAATCCACCAACGTAAGCCAAGGGCGGCCCGTTACGTGGTGTTGGCTTTGCAGCACTCCAACTCGTTGATCGTAGGGCTTGCCGTTGCCTCGCTTGGGCTTAGCAGCGTCAGATCTTCCTTGTGGGTATGGACCGAGGACATGAATGACATGGTTCGCCTTCCCTCTTTCACTATTCGTCCCAGCTCAACATCAGTTTTTAGAGGATCCGACCTGCCTCAAAATTGCCCATCCAAAATCTAATTATCTAACGACTTGCCTCACCTGGCTCCTCGCTCTCGCCCGCTCATGTGCATGACCGCTTACTCTCTCCCCGCCATTCCCATCCTCATGCTCATCATCCAAGGCATTTCCCAAGGCCTCGCTCCCCCCCCCTCCCCGCATCCAGTGCCAACAATTCGCTATCTTCCCTACTATCATAGCGTTCGCTGTCTCTGCCATCTTGACCGTCAAGGCATTTAACACAGCAGAGCTGCGGGGGAGCATAGCGTGGTGGGGCATCACGTCCGCGCTGAGACAGTCTGTCACGACGGGGATGTTCGTCTGAGAAGGGTTGGTTGGGAGAGTGAACGTGGGATGAACGACATCCAGGACGCGCTGGACGAGGAGAGCGAGAAGAAGTGGGTTGGACGTGTCCCGGACTATCTGAAGCATCAAAGTATGGCTGTTCGCCCTCGCACGTTTGGTGCTTGGATGTTCGAAGCCGTAGTCGAGCTTCTGTGCCTGCTCTCCCTCATTCGAGGTCCACCCAATCCCCTCCCACTGACAACTTCACTCCCACTCTCGATCGTTGACGAAGGCCACCCAATTTCGATATCCCTTCACCTACTTCACCCCAACCCGCACGCATCTCGCAATACTCACCCACCTCACCAACGCCGAGGCCAGCATTCGACGAGGACGCGGAAGGGGTGTTCGAAAAGGAGAAATAGGCCATCGAGAAGAGCGGTGTTTCCGCTCGCCTGGGATGCGAGGCCAGCTCTCGTAACGGCCGGGAAGTCATTCATGCACGTCGGGACAGTCTCACAAATGTCAAGGTCCAGAAGCACGACAAGGACATCATCGATCATCGTTGACGCGTTGACGGCGTCCCACGATATGAAGTGTTGTGCACAGCATATACCCCTCTGTTCCTTGCAAACTCACACCTCCTTCGGCCTTGTAACGTGCTGCCCCTCTGGTGCCATGACCCCATCTTCTCATTCCTCCTCCTCTTCAAAGTGTCCATTGGCACAAGGACTATCAACCATCAATCAAATTCGGCGCTGGTATCAAAGCTATCGACGGTATCCTCCTGGGTACCAAGTACTTCATCCTGGAGACATGTCACATGTTATGGGTCACGCGTATTTGGTCTACGGCTTTGCACTATGTCACGTCACCGTGCAAGACGAGAAATGCTTCGACCGCAACGGGTAAGATGGTGCAGGTGTTGGTGAAGGACGAGGAGGACGCACGGGATCTGGTAGATGTGGTTTGGGGTCAATGCTGCATTGTATTTTCGATGCTTCGTGTTGGGCTTGGGTGGGAGGGTGGCAGGTGACGCCGGTTTGGTGTGGGTTTGGCGCCGGTGTTTGTATGGAAAGCGTGAGGTGCGCAATAAGAGGGCTAGGAAGGGGCTGCTGTCTCGCAAAGTCTTTGTAAGGTTTACCTCTCTGTCTGTTGTGCTTAATGTTGATTGTTATGCTTTGTTCCTGTCATAGCTCCTAACTTCACGCGAACTCGGCAGTGTGGGTCTCTGTTGGCGACCTTTCAAAGTGTTAGCGCTCGAGCCCTGTGTGGTCCGAGGTGACCATGTCCACTCCGAGCCACGCTCCATCCCTCAACTCCGTCACGCATTCACCTCTGTCTCCAGCTCCGTAGGACCTCTACCAATCTTTACGGTGTGCCACGTTGGACCAGGGCTCTTAAGTTTTTAACTTCTTCGTGTTGCTGGCATCCACGTACTGTGTTTTAGAGTACGTTCGTTTGCATGTGACTGGTGGGAATCGAGCGAGCAGAAGTGGATTGTGCGTGAAGCCTATGAGCGTAGATGTGAATCGGAGACATAAAAGGGAGTTGGCAGAGGGTAAATATTCACCTCTGCCCAGTTTGGTGCGGGTACCTGTCTAACGTTTCTGCCAGTAACGTCGCTACCAAGGCGAACACGCCGTAAGGTATGTCAGAAGACGGCGTCATGAGTACCCAAAGGTTGCAGACGTCCACCTCTGGCCTGTGATGGTTCCCCGGCTTTGCAGTCTTAGCCACCCTCTGTCTCAGTGAGTTTTTCTCCCACCTCAGTTTCCTAACGGACGCTGTGTGCTCAGATAGCATTCTTGATAGATTCAACCCGAGAAACTACATCCTCAAAACACATTTGTGGTGCTGAAAATACACGTGAATCGGCATCAGAAAGTCGGGTTATACAGCGACGACACGCCTTGGAACATACACGACGGCCAAAGAGGAAGATCGTCTTGAGTGAGCGTGTACGGAGACGTCGCACTGGCATGCCATCAGAATCCTCTGCTTTATCTCATCACTTTTCAAAAGCGATAACATTACCCCGACCTGCTCTGTGTCCCCACTGTAACGAAGGCATTTAATAGCCAACTTCTTTCCACCTCGGCTGATGACGATGAGACATGAACCCACTTTGAGAAGCCGAATATACTAACCGCCCGCACCCAGGAGATACGCGTTCTTTTGGAATGGGGATTTTCACTCAATAGTGAATAGGGTTAGTGGTGAGACTGAGTCCCCAGGATTGTCGGTGAGCTTCCTCTCGACATCGCTGACCTCGCTTTGCTTGACGAAGGTCACCAGCGCCACCACTTCTACCGCGTCGTTTATTACTGTTTCTCAAACTTGCCCACGCGCCTGGATGTCACCACATGAACCAGCAGCTGTTCTTGCGGTTGGGTTGCGATCGATAATCAGTGAAAGTCAAGACCTGAATAAGTGTTGACCAGCGTCGAGTAGCGCGTGGATGTACCTCACAAGTCCATCATGAAATACTCCGTAAATTGGGCTCAGCAACACCAGCGAGTCCGGACCGCGAGAAATGTAGGAGCATCCAAGAGGCCAGGTAATGATATGCGGAATAGGAAATGAGGGGAGCTACGTCGGGCGTCAGATGTGGGGCGGGTCCGTTGGGGGTCAGGAGTTCAGCTGGAACGCAACAGTGGACAAGTCGAAAGTTTGCGAGGGCGATGAGGGAAAGGGTTGCACGCCGAGATAACCAGAAAAAAAGCCGAAAGCGCCTGCCACGTATTGTGCGGCATCTCTCCCGACGCTCTTTTCATAAATCCTGTGGAAACTTGGTCCAAACTTACTATTAGTCGCCCATGACCGTGGTCCGTCTCACTTTGGGCCCGTGATATTCATCGCAAGATCATATCAGTAACTCTCCTACCTCCCGCGAATCGCATCGTCTCCCGAAGTAATTACTCTTCTCTCGTCAAAATTTCCTCGCCCAGGACCGAATTCTCTCTTCTCGACCGTTTCTCAGTGGTCATCAACACCTACCATTTCGCACGTAACCAACCCACTTCTGCGAGGTCAAACTAGGCTCATTGTGTTATCTATTTCCGTCCACGGACTCTCTACATCGTCAGTCATCTTTACCTTATGCGCAACCCATACAATCATCTTTTCCGATTCACTCCGGGGCTTTGTAATTTGCATGCTTTGCCGCACCGAAGACCATTTTCACCGTAATACCCGCTGGAGCCCCGAAAATTGAGAAAATTATATTGAGTAGATCTCTCTATTACTATATACACTTCGAAGTGGTAGCCAATTCATGGAATCACATTGTCAGGGTTGTCTGTCGAATTCGTTTTCCGGTGTCGAATAACGCCGGAATTGACCTGGATTTCGGTAACGCCGTCTGACCATCCAGGACGGGCATTCCGAACATAATCTCTGATGTTAAGAACAACCCTACTTGTTAACATGGAGTGGAGGCATCGTTCCACACTGAGTGAAATGGGTTATCAGCCTCATGATACTTCTTGATCGTCGAGCAAGGAGATACATACGATGAAAGCATATCCAGGTAGTTTTCCTTGAACGGAATGTAATTATTAGTTTTCCACTCCGAAGTGCGAACAAAACAAACGTACGGAAAGGGAGGTGACTACGACGACGTTGATCGTAGACAGCACTACATGTCAGGTTGAGAAAATTGAGATAAAGTAGGTCTGTCATTTTTTTTACCGAAGAGGTAGATATAAAACAGCGCGCCTGGTAGTTCCGTTAGTCTTAAGATGATAAAAATGAGGTCATCATCTTACCATCGCGGTACACAACTGCGTGAAAACTGGCATCCTCTCCCCGACGATCTAATGTCAAATGAGGTATTGATCATATTCAGAAATAAGGACGGACACGTTTTAACGCCGGGAATAACCATCAGCACTAGAATCACTAATAGGAGATTATAGGTCACTGGAGTGCCATGCATAGTTATTGGGCTATCTTACCAGCTTCATATATCATCAAAATCACCCAATTGATGTACACCATTCGGTTGGATCCCGTAATGAAACAACCTTGAAACTCGGGATATGGTCTGTCGGTAACTGGGAAAGTGGATGTGAAAAATGAAAGGGATTATGTATAAAAGATTCTTACATTGTAAACCTCGCAGGAAAAGACTTTGGACCACGTAGCTACTCACAACCGTGGCGACGAACAATATTGATAGAGCGGTGCCCAAACGCCCATCACGCCTCCATACCGCCCACGCGCGTAAGGTTAATATCACTTCGCAGAAATAAGTTAATTCGAGTCAAATGGGGGCAAGAAATTCTAACACAGACGTTCTGATAAAATAATGCCAGTGACGATCAGATCTAGAGGACATGAGAAGGGTTAGAATATAAGAATGCTGTTCCACGCACAACCCCGGAGCTTCTCGACCACGCTACAAGTGGACGGGCTGATCGTTGTTGAAAATTGATCTGCAACGGAAGAAATTAGGAGGTGTAACATTTGATAGATAGTTCACTCACGGAGGAAGCAAAGTATAGCTGCATCGACGAAGGGCAGGTATCGCTGAAGGATGTACAAGACCTTCATAAATCCCCACTTCGACGACCATACCAGGTCTACCTCCATCCCAACGGTCAAGAAGTAGTCGTACAAGAACATCGCTGCTCCAGCGACTGCGTTTCAGAGGTGATTGAAGTTAGTCTTTGCCCGCTTGTTACAGTCTTCAAAGGAGCCTACCGTCAAAATACTGTGGTCGTCAATTTGAGGGGTGCACAAATTTGGCGGAGTATTACACACCGTCACCAGCCTCATGGCGCCCACATAGGCCGTAAGTTCCTTTAGCTCTGCAATAATCTCTCCAATTGACGACATGTTGGCGAGATGGGAGGTGGAGAACTAATATGTGAAGGCGAGGGGCTAGAGCGAAGGAGTTTTAGTTGGGCGGGATTCGGATTGGCGGAAGAGGTGAAAAAGAGGAGATAGGTTCTCAAATGGAGATGCCATGAACATCTTGCGGCCACGCTTGATTCTTTCGCTTTCCATGATGCGCGGAGCTGTCAGAGCTAGAGTCGTATGATGAAATGGTGAGCCTGCCAAAATCAATTATTCGCGTCCCACTTACACGTTCCCGCGCTACCTTCGACGACGGAATTTCGAAGTTCATGATGCTTGGTCTCTACACAAAAATTGATTTTGAAAAGTGAGAGGGTTAGTGGAATTCCAAAGTTGAAAATTCTCCGAGTTCACGGTTCCAGCGCCTATCACCGGCAACATTGCCGATGTCATGTAAAATTATCCCTCTGCCCCATGCCTTCTCATATCCGCCGACAATCAGATGACTATCTAGACAGTAGATTCAATCGCTGTCCAGATGGTTGTTTATACATACAAGTCCTCGAAATCGCAGGACGAAACTTCGTCATATTAAGCATGTATTTTGGGGGGTTTCCTCACCGATGCTGAACATATAAAACTTCCCGCCCTGAGAACTGAAGTGATTGGGTACTCAGCAAGCTCACGCAAGGATGTGCCTGATGCATGCTGTGAGCCCACATGAATCAATAATTGACGATCACTCACGTCATTGATCTTGTGAGCGAAATTGTTGAGTTTATGATACATAACGAAGAGTAAGACACATCGAATGACCAATGACCTTATGTAAATAGATCGTCTTCCCTGAAAGAAATGATTAATGAGGACTCACCACTCCACCTAAAATGTTGGCATTGAGATATTGAACCTTGCATCGCCATCGGATTCGCTCGAGTTGTGCCCAACGACGGCCGAAAGATGTGTAGTAGAGACGCTTGAGCGAACTGTTAGACAAGATATCCGTCACAAGCAAGTCACAAGTAAGAACTTCCCTGATGGTTGGGACGTCGACCTCATCCAGATCTTCGACCTATAGCAGAGCGTCGTATTTCGGAAAATCAATACGACAGGAATTGAGATCACTCACGCACACATCTCATAACTGGCCTCGAAGCGCAACCAAGGCGGGGGTTTGCAGCCTGCTTGTAACGTCTGAATAAGTATAAGGAGCATTTCACTTCCTTGTGTCTTCATAACGCACGTCATAAATCGGAACATAGCGATCACGACACAGTTCTGGTGAAAAGAGAACTTGAAGCGGCTCATATTTTGAGGCCGGCCCGGAAGTGACCGACCATCTGATAAGATATGACATTGAGAGCCTTCAAGTCATCAGTCGTAGACTCGTAGCCAACAAAGTACTGTGCTTAGGCGTAATTGAGCAGAAAGCTGAGCGTTTTCTACGAGTTAAGTGTTGTAGTGCTGCTGCGGATCATATAAGAATCCAGGCTTGGCAGTACGTTGTGGGATCACGCGCAGTTTTCTCTTAGCAATCTCTCAGACTAGCGGTACTGGGCCTTCGTAGTAGTGTTGACAAAGGCGGTACCCACTATAAAGAGGCATTCAGTTTTTCTTTGAATCCTCTCAACGTTGAATCAAGATCTATCCTTGAGACCTATTTTTTGGAAGCAGTTTCTCCATTATCTCTGCAGCTTCCGAGCTTCGCGTATGGATTACCCTATAGTACTATTTAATACCTTAGGGTGCGCAGATATCATTGATTCAACAGAGGTATGCTCAAGGAGACTGGAGTACGCGACGCGACACCTGCACGTGATGAGTAGAAGTGGCGGAAGTTGAAATTGGAATACATTCCCAGAGCTTGCCGAAACGTCATGTACAAGCAAAAGTGCTTTTAATTGCCCATTCAACACTCTGCACCATCCCAATAAAAGATTTGTAGTGCTTGCTCCGGTATTCAAGTCATTTGGAGGGTTGAGGCGAGGCAGAGCTGGCCAGTGAAAGCGACGAAGAAGTGAGTTAATTTTATCTTTCGAAGGGTCATATTATGACCTTTAGGGTTAGGGCTAGGGTAGGAGTTAGGTGACATTTGGAGAGGATTGGGGTTAGGGTTAGGGTTAGTACTTCGGTCTTATACGTCCAAATTTAAAGCGGTCCCACCCCTTGATTCTAGAGCGCTGTCTAGGCGCCGTACCCCCATTTCCATGGCGATGCAAGTTCTAAACTGCGAATCGCAGTCAGTGGTCACCATATTTTTTAATAGAGCTCCGCAGCGCTCTTTCCCCCCTTCTCCACGAACGATGATAAGTCTCCGTCGATTGCGCACCCTCGTCCTTTCTTCATTCCCTGGCTTCTCGTCGCTGTTCAAATTCTACAAAGTTCTTCCGTCACAGGGTTATTATCACCCTCGCAGTCGCCAAGCACGTCATCGGTGCTCCACTGGTGTGCTTTTGGTTCTATTTACGCCATGGCTAGTTATCGGCGGGTTCATTGTAGCATCTTGGATACCTCCGTCATATCAAGATATTAGAAGATATGAACGGAACCTTCCTCAACACTCTGTCGACATTGGCGAGAGGAGGCGGTACCTTCGGTTCCCTGACCATATTTGGGGCCATGGGCTGAATAATATTTTACAGGAAGCGTATGTCGTTCCTTCTCGCAATGGGTAGTTGACTCAGATGAGACTTAGGATCCTGACATCCTATCTCTCTCTGCTCGCAAATCGATCCTACGTGTTCGAAGATTACACTTGGTCTCACCTCCCGTTCCCATACACACTAGACAACTTTGAATTACGGCCAACACACATTCCAATGAACGCGTTTATCTCTGGTCCAACGGCGGGCGGTCCTCTCCCCCACTCAGACACCACATATAGAGCTGTGTCTGCGGAACATTATGATTGTGTCTGCCCCTCGGACCATCCGGGGAAGGTCATCATTGATGCACGCACTGTGGGATCTCCCAGTAGGGCTGGAGGGATGGAGCTGGTTCAGTGGTGGGTAGATAAAATCGACAGCGTTGCGAGTGACGCAGAGTGTGTTGAGATCCGCGAGGGAGACGTTGTGGGGAGAGTATTTGATAGCTAGTGAGTTGATCCTGCTTCCCCTTCTTCACATCTTCCCGTTCCCATTCGCTTGATCGTCACATTGCCCTTTTTCGTTCAAACTCTGACAATTCTCCACTCCCCTCTTTCTCAGTTTCTTCGGCATCCCATCCCAATTCCTTCTCCTCCTCCCTGACCTGTTTCTTTCGCCCATCCTCCACTCTTTCACCTGGTCTCCCCTCATACTAAGTGCAATTGTTCGGAATTTCAACATCTTCGAGATGGGGTCTGTAGAATCCTTCATTTTACCAGCGCCCCCACAACCACATGTGTCATTGCCGTCATACAGATCAAACTCGATGGTTACTGGCCTCCTCGCCGTCCACCTCCGCCGTGGGGATTATGAGCGTCATTGCTTGCGCCTAGCAGACTGGCGCTCTACATGGATGGGGGTGAATCGTCTCGAAGGGCTGCTCGATCAGTTTGAGGACGGCATGCCACAGCGGGATGTGAGTGCCATCACCAGCGCATTGATACAAGTGTGACCGAGAAGCTGAACCAGGAAATGGAGAACGTCGCCCATGCTGCAGCCGTGAAAGCGTACTACCTCTCGCGGTGTTTGCCCTCGGTCGACCAAGTGGTTAAACGGCTGAGAGACGTTAAGCTGCAGTGGGAGAGTGGAAGGGGGTCAAATTCCAGCTCAAGTTACTTTCCGGCCAGGAAGCTGGATAAAATATACATGCTTACTAACGCAGCGTCATCGTATATCGTGGAGCTGGAGCAAGCTCTTATCCAGGATGGTTGGGGCGGGTCATCTGGAAAGACCGTACTCATCAGTACGCGCGACATGCAGGAGAGATTGGACGCGGAGCAAAAGTACGTTAGCGTTGGCGTAGATATGGCTATCGCGGAGAGAGCAGAGGTGTTCGTTGGGAATGGGGTGAGTATTGGGCTTGTTTTGAACTTCGTGAATCTTTTATACTGAAAAAATTCCTCAAGTTCTCGAGCCTTTCCTCAAATATTGTGATGCTGCGGATGGCGAGGGGATTGGATATCACTTCTAATCGACTTTTGTGATCCACTCCAGATAATATCCACCAGTACTTCGATTGTTGGACCAAGTCCCTTCCACCCAACCAGCATATCGGTACATATATAGTCATCATTCAAAACGTTACTTCTTATAGCATGTTAGATGGCGACAATAATAATGGCGCGGTGAAAACTCGTCAACTCTGGATTCCATTTGGATTTTTTTTGTTTCGGGGTCATGATTCTAGCCTCTAGGCGTGTTTTTCAACACTCCAGAAAATATGCCTGGAGTTCGGCTCAAAAGACAAATTCTGCATACTGTACAAGGTTGACGTGCGAAACGAGCAGCACGGGGATCCTATTTTCTTCGTCGTCAGTCACCAGTCGTCCGAGTCTACCATGTAAAAAATACCTTATCACTGACTATATGAATTATCAGTCTTCGTCCGCGTCATACTACGATTTGATGTCCGCGGTCAGCACTTACCCATCAGCCTCAACCAGAGCAAGAGTGGATGACGCCTCGAACGTGAGCCTCAATTACTTACCAGGCTATGTAGAGTTACTAATTACTACTGCCTAATGCCTCGCCTTCCGTCACCAAAGAATCATTGACAGTTCAAGTCAATCAACAAAGACCATTAATTAAATTCGGACTCGCGTCACCCGATCCATTAAAGGAAAGCCATAACCAGCCTGGCTCGCCAGGGGGTGAACTCGTCTGACGTTCGCGCCAGCAATGATCGGCGGCTCACTTCTCTTCGTCGTCCAACTTTGGCACAATAACTTGACCAGACACGCGCCGGAGTCGATGACCGAAATTCGAATGCACGACCTCAGCCCAAGCGCCGATGTCATAATTCATTTGCCTCAAACTTGAGTCGGTCACACCACCCCGTCAGCGGACGCACACGCGCGCCCACACCAACGATTACCCCGAAAAAAGAAGCTTCGCCTCCCTAACCCTCGTTTCATACGCAAGTCGCGCCTTCGCCCAATCCCAGTCCCCGAGATGCATAGTTCGCCCCCCTCTCCTTCCGCACCTCGGATCACCTCCCTTCATTTTACCCATCCATCAAGGGGGGCCATATCCACCTCTGGCAGCGGGCAGTGCGCCGCGCCTTTGTTTGACGTGCACTAAGTACATGGGGATACCGATCGGCGAGCGTTCCTCATTCTCACAGATGACATTTGAATGAACCCCACATGCAATTCAGGATCATCACACACGGAGGCATTATTACCTCGAGGATAGATGATCATCCGCCTCGAGGACTTCGGGCGGCTACATTCGATCGAGGTGACGGAATCAGTAAATGAATCGATTATAATTACTTTTTACAATTATCGGGATGCTGCTTAATCCTGCTTCGTAGTAGGTAGTTAATAGTAGGCTAGAAAGAAATGATAGAGCATGTACATCCGAAATGATTTTTTTATGCACAAGTGTGGTAGGTGCATGAGATGATAGAATGGTTATGTGGGAGGGGTATCACGGATAGCAAGGAGCATGCGATGATAGCGACGACGACGACGAAAGAGTGGAAAAGATAGAAAGAAAGAGAAAAACGCAACCAAACTCGATATTAAGCCCCATCCTCCTCCTTCATCCACCCTCCTCCACTCGGTCCGCCGTGGCTACTGCTGCTGCTGCTATTCGCCTCGGCAGCATCCACAGCCTCCAACAGCTCCGCCTCTGCATCCCCATCCGCATCAACCATCTCCTGATCCCCACCACCAGTCGCTTCAACCGCACCCAAAATCTCAGCCTCAGCCTCAGCTTCCGCATCCGCATCAGCATCAGCGTCCGTCTCGTCCACCTCCATCCCAAGTGTGGGTGATATTGTCGCACCCAACGGGGATTTTTTGTTTGCCGGCGTCGTCCTCCTCGCTCCTGACGGTGTGCTCCTTCCAGCTGGCGTGCTTCTCCCTCCTACAACCGGGGTACTTCTCCCTCCACCACCCGCGGGCGTGCCCCTCCCCCCGCCCGTAGGCGTGCTCCTCCCTCCACTCCCACTAACGACGTCCTTCCCTCCAGCGGCAGTAGCACCGTTTTTCTTCACGCCCGCCCGACTCCTACTCCCAACCTTTCCTCCCCTCCCTACATTCGAAAGCGGCAACTGCTCCGAATCGCCATCCTCCCCATCATGCTCCTGTTCACGTTCATGTTCAGCATCCTCCTCCTCCCCTTCGTCCTCCTCAAACGCAGCTATAGAAGGCGGGGGGCTACGGTTCGGACTAGCACCACCTACTTGTGTAATTGTGGGTGTTCTCAAATGCGAGGTATGGGATGGATGGGAGTGAGATGAACGCGGTGGAGCCTGGGTCTGCGCGTGAAGTTGGGGCTGCGACGGCTCCCTCCCCAGAACCTGCGATTGCGATTGCGAGGGCTGCGAGAAACTTCCATGATGCGTAAGAACCGTATCCGTCCTATGTATCGATCGATCCGAGCCTTGAGAAAGCGGAAGTTGTGAGATTGACCCCCCTCGCGAAGGCTGCTGCTGCTGCTGTTGTTGCTGGTGCTGGTGCATGACCGCCATTTGCTGTTGCGTCTCCAAGGTTCCTCGCCTCTCGACGCGTTTCATTTTCTTCCTACACCTAAATGTGGGGTTTCGTGAGCCCAAGTCGGATTTTGGAGGAGGAAAACGTAACGTAGAAAGGAGACTTACCGATCGCAAACAGTCCCAGGACCCATCGGCCCAGGACCCCATTTTTCAACGCACTTGTTGTCTTTATACCGTCCTGGGAGACCGCATTGTCGACAGATCCTCTGGCCTTGGGCGTTTGTGGCTGGAAAGACTTGGGGAGGCGGTGCGACGATTGGTGGGTCGATTGGGCCTTGAAAATTATTCGGTTAGTATGTGGTAGAGTGAAATGGAAAGGGAAGAAGAGTCGGAGACAAGAATTAAGAAAAGATGGCGGGAAAGACACAAGTTGAATGAAAGTCAGAGACGAGTACGAGAAAAAAGAACATTGAAACAGGGAAAAACTTCCAAAGGCGAAGAGCGAGGAGAGGAGAAATAAATGAGAAAAGAAAAGATAAGGCTGCCAGGAGAGCGGTGAAAAGGATAACACACGAAAGCGCAAGTGGGAAGCTTCCATCTATCGCCTGCGAGAAATCGAAAAGAGTTGGAAGAAAGACGTAAAAAATGCCAGATGCAAGAGAACGAACAGACGATGTCCGTTCCTCGACAAGTCGATCCAAACGCTAGAAGGAACACACGAAACGTACCTCCTGCTGGTCCTCCAGGCACCCCAGCCAACGCACCGACACTCCCCCCACCTCCAATACTACTCCCACTAACGGAATATTTTGGCTTCTTCATGGGTGCACCCGTAACGACCGGAGCAAACACATGAGTCTGATACTGCTGAACCTGACCCGGCTGAACGAGTGGACCGGGCGGCTGTTGCTGCAATCCGACGTCCTTCCTCGGGACAGACTGATTAGCCGGATACGCATACCCAACTCCTTCTTGTGCTTGTTGACCCTGATAAACGTGTACGCGCCTGCTACTACTACTCCCCTCCTCGGCGTGTCTTCGTGAGTGGTGGCTCCGCAGATGCGGGGAACCATTTTGAGATGTCGTAGTAGATGGTAAAGGAAGACTAGCCATATGCGGTGGTGGTGGTTGTTGATTCGCAGCGATGCCGTTGATGGCGTCGGCTGTAGTGGCTTCAAGGAGCATCTCATCCACGTCCAAGGAAGCGCTGCTAGAGCGACTAGAAGACCTTGAATGGGGTCTACGCGAATGTGCATGATGGGGATGGTGTTGTTGTTGATGGGGATGGAGATGTGAATGTGACGAAGGGAGAGTGTGCGGGTGCGGTTTATGGTGATGGCCGGGGGACATGATGATTCTAGGAGCGGACGGGTTTGGGGGCGGGTATCCATGCTGCTCCAGATGGATATGCTGAGCCGAAGGACGTAAGAGAAGTGCGTTCTTTGAAATGGTGGTACTTACCGAGTCGGAATAAGACATCCTCGGTTCTCCATTCCCGCGGGATCGTTTTGATGGTGGGTGGGTGTATTCGCTTTCTATGCTTGGCGTGCGTGCTCTGCGGGACGTTGAAGTAGTAGGGGGTAGTGGTGGAAGTGGTGGTAAAGAAGGAAAAGGGGTCATTGGGGTCCTTGTAGCATGTCTCCTCGGTGGTTGAGATGTCGGTGGTGGTGGAGGAGCCATTGAGGGTGTACCCAACAACGGAGTACTAATAGATCCCAAAGTCAACTGGCCTCCTCCCTCTCTAACAATCCTCCCAAACGACTCTCTCGCCTCCTGATTACGCAAGTCACCCATCTGCAGCCAACGATCGAATTGCGCCCAATTCTCCACGACGGCTCTCCTCCTTGACTCCGCTTCATCCCTTGCTATCTCCGCCCTCTGCACTCGGTCCTCATACTCGATAAAAACGCGCTTCGCCGACGATTCGGACGAGGGCGACGACGACGACGCATCCGTTAGCGCTAGCAACAGCCGCTCAGCCTTCTCCACGCGTTTCCTCGTATTGGTCAATTCTTTCTTCAACGCCTCGTTTTCGGTATACGTCTCCGTCAACAACGTCGACAGCTGCAGGTTTGAACTCGCATTCGTGGTCGTCGTCGTGGGCGTATTTGCATTGGTAGGCACAGTATCTTGCGGGGAGGCAGACATGGGGTAGCTGATGAAGATGATGATGCAAGGTGGCAAAGGCAAAGGTTCATATGTAAACCATGCGCCGCACTTTGAAGCTGAACCGACTCACCCACACTGACAGAGACTCGTTATCCGCTTTGGGTTTGGCTCATTCATCAAAATCCTCGGCACCGCCGTTCCGTATACGTCACAAGGTCAGACTCTCAGAGACCCCTGATACCATACCGTACTCAATGGCGCAGCACTGACTGTCGTCATTCTTCTACGGACAACGACGGGCGGGACGTCGGGGGAATCATAACATCAATTACTAATTTTAGAAGCTTGGCTCGGTTTCACCATTGCGCACAACTTACGTTCGTGTGTCAGATCTCGCCAGCTCGTGTGAACCAAGTCTGGGCGGGCGGCGGGGAAAATTTTACCCAGGAAAACCGCCTGCGCTCAATTGCTGAGAGTGAAACATGTATGCATGAGCGTATTGTGCAGTTTTCCATTCTTTTTGTAATGTCATTCTTCTGTGAACAAAAGTTCACTTTCAACGTACTCGCAACGTACTCGACTTGGTCAGTAAACAATCACGAGAAACATAGCGCAAGATCCCAAACTGGGATAGCCAGAGCAAGTGCGACACCTTTTCCGGGCTGGAATATTGCGTGGGCAGGTTAATAAATATGTAGGGTAATACTCTTTGTTGTAATTGCATTTTACCCTTTCCACAAAGAGGAAAGTGAATGGAAAATTTTGAATGTTCCCAGTTGAACAGATCCGAACAAAGAGTCCTTTCTCAGAAATTTCATTCTTTCCCGCCCCTTTTCACAGCATGTATCAATTTTCCATGGCATGCGAAAACAAAGAATCCCTTTCCTTCGGCTTTCCTCTTAATCTTACTCAACTGTTTAACTTTTACTACAATATCACAAACAGGAAAATCTTTTAAATATTTCAGCTTTTGTTCGCCCTTTACCAGCTAAGAAAAGGCAAAACAAATTTCTTGGCCCGGATGTTTAAAAATCCCATGCCTTTCCCCACCAGAAAAAAATTGAATATAATCAGGATGCTCCCGGAAAGAAAAAGTGTCGCACTTTCTCAAGATATCCTGATCGGTAATGTTGGGCAATGTTTCTCGTGCAATAATATTAACAACACGAGACCACGACCATTAACCCAAATCATTTTATGAACCCCGTCAGCCACCGTAAACGTCGCTTGTGCCTGCTGCAGGTTCTGGGCGTCTAACAGTCAAAATCCCACTGTCACTCCATAGAGTTTTGATTCATAGACCTTCTCACTAATTTAACACCACTGTTCCCGACGTGTGTCAATTCTCGGATTTAGGACTACGACATCTCATGAATGCCCTCTTTCATTGTAAACTTCAATTTTTCTCTGCTGCAGGTTCTGGACTCTAAGGCTTGACAGCTGCCAAAACCCCACTCTAATTTCTCCGTCGAGTTTTGATTCAGACATTTCCTCAAGGGGGTGGCGGAATGTGGAAAAGAGACCAACACTCGTTATTTTTTTTTCAGAGTCCTGCTTGACACCCCCCTACCCCTACCTTCCTAATCAAGTATGTTTTTCCCATGCTTATGTTTTCAGAATTTTTTTTCTACATAGAACGCGAAAACATTTGACAAATCTCACGGTGCACGCACCTGGCAGCCTGTTTTGCAACCTCGCGCTTTGCACATCACCACCCAGCCACAGTTCTCTCTTCCTTTTCCCCTGCCGTGAGACTCGAGGGGTATTTTGTTGTATGGTTTTCTGGTTAAAAAAGCTGAGGACTTCTCTTTCTTTTGTGGGGGTTGCGTGTTGGCAGCCTTGTTCTCTCTGCATGTTTTCGAGTCTCGATGCACGTTCAAGTTACTCATCCCACCGGCACCAACATGCACATCTGTATTACACTCTGCACAATGAAGCTGTTGGCCGTAATTCGACTCTTATTTCAACCTCAATTAGCAATAGTACCCATGGTCTATGTTTTTGTTAAATTCATTACCGTGATTTCTTCGCCACATGTTGGGGGGTTCAAAATTGCTTCTCGCTGTCCACTATGGCCAAGTAAGTATCTACAGCAGCTAGGACATCTACTAGAACGATCCAATGTCGCAACAGGCAGGTCACTGACCACTTCTGCCACCAAATTGATGGGTTGTCACTTTTTTTTTTCGGCCTTCGGCCGAGCACCCCCCCCCCAACCCTTGGTTCGGGATCCATGTCCCGCTACCCCCTTGCATTTCCTCGAATTACGGGACCTTCTCACAAATTTGACACCACTATAGCGACGTGTGTCAATTTTTGGACCAGGACTACGACATTTTATGAACGCCCTCACCTAACCTCGCTTTTCCCTGCTGCAGCCTCTGGATCAAAATCCAATCTAATTTATCCGTAGAGTTTCGACTCAGATTTGCTCGCGAACGACGAAATTTGACACTCGGGTGGTGGAGAGACGTTTCACACAGGAATCCCGCTCTTCCAACTGTTTTTGAGATTAAGTACACTTCTAGCTGGACACTTGCTTGACAATTGCAGTTTCCTGAAACGGAAATTGTAAACCTGCATATGTGTATTCATGAGTTTATTCAGAGCATTGAACGACCACTGACCTGAACGCCGTCATCCACCATGGCCAAGACAAAAAGTTGCTTGGCGTCCACGCCGTTGTTGACACTCACGAACTTGCGCGTGTCGCAGCTTTTACAAAATCAGTCGTCTCGGCAACTCCCGGCGCGCATCTCCTCCTTACTGGACCTTACACACCACGACCACCCACAAACCATGTCATATGCCATCGATCTCAGCAGCGAGTGGTTCGCCCATCGCATCGGTCGGCGTCGGCACAATTAGCGTCCCCATATATACCGGGACCAAGCCAGCGCCTGAACGCCCTCCGACGTTATCGATGACGACGATACAACTGATCGTTCGGCGATAGCGACCAAACTTCATCTTCACCTGCCATCCCTTGCGTCATAGACACACATACACACCCCGCATTCCTCTTCCAGACTCATCGCGCTAACCTTCATTAGAACCCGCTACTCCTTCCGTGGATCTGAGCCCCCTGATACCCTCAAGCTCAAGGCTGAAGCTAGCTAGCTCGCATTTGCAAAACCCTCCCCGTATGGCGGACTCTTCCTCATCCTTAGTCAACGTCGTCTTATGGCTCAGCTTAACCCTACCCAGAAATGTGTCCCAATCCTATGGCGAACAAACGCGCCTTGGCCTCGGTCTCTTTCTAAAACGCGTGTCGCACATCTCTTGCTGCGCTTGCTTCTGTACATCTCACCCGGACAATATTAATCGGCCGCCGGATCCATCAAGCTGCGCTGCCCCCACCGAACCCGAACTCTGATTACCCAATGACATACATGCATGCATGACAGCTTGGTTCATCCATTGAATTCGAACACATTCCTGGAGTGTTTACTTTCGACCCTGTTACGAGACGCCTCGCGGGAGGCACTTTGATCGACGTCCAAATTCAACACGTCGGAACTGTCTCGTCCTTTACATACTTCAAATCCGGCGGCACATATCCACTTACTTATCCAGCTCTTTGCGGATCTTCAAATCCTATCAGTGGTGGTGCTAGTACCAAAAAGCGCATGCGCTTCAGCGGTTAATGCGGTTTGGCATTAATTAGCCCATCTACGCCTCGCTAATACCGATTCACATCGCGTCCGATTCTCATGGGACAGCGCAGTCGTCCAGTCGCGGAACTTGAGTTGGGCATGCTCTACCTACTATAGGAAGGAGGGAGTAGAATCGGCCGAAATCCCGTCCGCCGTCTGGATGGTTCACCACAACACCAACCCTGCCGTAATTCACAACAATAACTCCACAACAACACCTCGAGATCGAAATCACGCACAGCCCTCTCGCTCTAATTGCAATTGCTCCCCGGCGCATTGCGTAAATGAACCAGAATTCCCGACACACACGCGCACACATCTCAACTCGGGAAAGAAAAAACAAAAGCGAATGTGGCGTTTTGCCTGTCATTTCCACTAGAGGTTTAATATCGCCTCATGCCCGCCTCCCGTCCCCCTCAACTCACCACACACATGTTCATGTGATCAACAAAAAGGTTACCTGCTTCCATGGCCAAACTTCCATCGATGAACGTGATGCATAGATGGACAAACAAGTCCCTGAAAACACACTCATCCTTTTTTTTGGGAGCGCCTTCTGTGATGTTGCGAAGACCCTTTCAGACTTCAATACACGCGTCAACTGCGTTTTCGGCGGGATCCTACTACGCCTCCTTTTCATATTCGTTCCAGTTCACCCACGCTTTGACGCCCAGACTTAACTTGCACAGCTAGACTACTAGACGAACCAAGATTAAGATTCAAGCAGCACAGTCGAGTCGATACAACAGCGGCTAACAATGTGATATGAGCGTCACTCGTCTGTCTAATATGAATCCACGCTCTCCTCGGTATTGTCTTAGCCTTATCACCTGCCGGTAAGTGCGCAGTTTCTTTTAGAACCGGGGCTAAAATGCGTGTCCCTTCTAACACTTAAGCGCGTCGCTTAATTGTACACTCCCAAATACTCCACGACTCGCGCGCACAAAAGGAAACCCCTTCGGCAGTGTTGGTCCGCCAGCAGTTCAATTTCTGATCAATAGGCATCCCCGCTGGTAGCGTGAATGGTGGACGCGTTCCTGTAGCCTCCTGGAAGCTGTTGCCGCTTTTTTCTTTGGGCCCTAGTGAAAGAAATCGTCCTGGACTCGTGGTCTATTCGGTCTATTCATCCGAAGCTCCTGAGCTCCACGACCACTTCTTGGCCGCCTTTTCGTTGGTTTGCGCCAAACGTGTAGCTGGTTCGCTGCGGAGCCCTCCAACTTAGGTCCACGAGCCATTTCCAAATTATCGAACTGCCCAATCATATCCAGCATAAACATTTCTCCCAGTGAAATCGCGGTGTCTAAGGCTCTATGCTCTCAAATAGTTAATTCATCTAGATGAAAAATGTGAAGACAACGTTTTCACCAATCCATAGTTGACTTCGGGCCGAAAGGAAACGCCCAACATCGTCATTCAGGGACGCAAGATTAACTATGCACCTATTTCCCCGCAATCGCAAGAATCCATCCATACGCGCATGAACATCACCTGGTCTCTCTGCCCGTCAAACGAAAAACTTGGCCAGTCCCTTTTCCTCAGAAACGTATATAGGCTGGGCAATCATACAAAGGTACGAGTTCCACTCGAGCCTCCCGAACTCAAGATCCGAAAGTGGAGATTACGACCGCTACACTTCACAACATGACTCAAAGTTCAAGGAGGAGAGAGAAAAAAAGAGTCAGGAACGTCATCCCGAAAATTTATTGATGGTTGTTTCCCTAGGCCCTCCGACGTTGACGCCAGGAACGGGTCATCCGACAGGGCAAATCAGGTCAGTTTGCTGAAGCCATAAATGGGATAAGTACGGCTGATACGCTACGCCCATATACATAGCCGAATCCCGAATCCCGAATCCACCATGCCGTTTTTGGATTCAGAAAAAAAAACGGCTCAGAGGCGTGATCGAGATAAGGATGAACAAAATCAAATCGTGCGGAACGGCGCACAGCAACGTGCGTGATTAGGAAGGGCGACTCCTTTTTAATGATAATATCCAAGAGGCATTCAAGGATGCTAAACCCACTCACCGGCGCGACAAATATCTCGAATTCAAGTCGAATGAAATCTGTCTTTTCATTTTACCAGTGAACCGGAAACTTGAAGGTCAATAATTTCATCACATTATAGGCGATTCAATGTCCAGCTCGAGAAAGGAGGAAGTTCAATTTGGAGCGCATCTTACTCTTGGCAGGGGAGCGCTGGGGGACCTGCCAGATAGACTAAGTCTTCAAGGACGAGCGTGACAGGGCAACAACACTCGAGCTCGTCAAGGCTATCGTCCCAGAAAAAAAATGAAAAAAGTTGAACATTAGTAAAAAAACGGCGCACGCCATTCTCTAGGCTAAGTCGATTGAAACACGTTCTTACATCCTATCCTACGCTAGGGAGTTGGGGGTTTCGTTTCAATCTGGAGTATAGTAATGGGTGTGTGAATAGTTAGTAGAGGTTACCGCTGGCACTCATCCGAATGCTCGATAGTTTCCCAAAAATAGGGCATTTAGACGAGTACGAGAACATATCACACTTCCACGTTCGACGCGACCTCCGTAGATTGTGGAGACATGCGTAGGGGGCAATTTTTAAGACTACTACCGACTTTGCAGCCACAGGATGGTGTTCACTTCAGGTGGTGTGAGAAGCCTGGAGCCTGAGATCAAAGACTAACGGAACAAAATTCGAATTCCAACGATCACATCAACTCTCGAAAGTACTAAAAGTCCGCGACATGTCTGCCCGCTGGTGAGTTATCTACTGACCTACAACCAAAATCTTGACCTCTTCGAGGCTCTTGAACACACCCTGCACATTGACCTTATTCGCACTGACATCCACCCTCAAGAACCTCCCTGGGTTAGCAGCTGACTCAATGCCAACAACTCCCTGGTACTTTCCAGCAGGGTCATCCTTCTTGTGAATTTTGAATCGCTCCAAAGAGCGAGCGGTGAACTGAGCGTTAACAGTGCCCCCGCCAGGGCCAAGAAGCTGGCCCGCGGCGACACCAGTCGCCTCGAGGCGGAGGAAAACGTTGTCGAAGACGGTGGACTTGAATGAGACAGTCTTGTCGTCGTTCACCACAAGAGTGTAGGTTTCGTAGGTGCCGATGAAGGTTTGGGTGTTGACGGTGCCACCACCCGAGCCGGTGAAGCTAGTGACACCTTGCCCGTCGAGGCGGACGTAGTGGTTGGGGGATGCAACGGATTCAATTGCGACTAGAACCATGATCTACGACGAATGTTAGTCCATGCAAGACGCGGAAAGCTATTGAGAGAGCTCACGATAGAGGGATGGGTTTGTGGTTGTAGATGTAGATGTGGGCTGTGAGATGCTTCAGTGTCGGTGAAGTTGAGAAAAGAGCGAGAAACTTTCAAGCCTTTTTATACGAAAAACTTGTGGACGTTTGTCCAATTGGATGAACGCGTGAATTGCATCTCGCCTTCTCGCCACCCTAGATCTGTCGTGCAAGGGCGCCACAAAGGTTCGCACTATCTCCTTAAATCAGCACGCCATCCATGAGAAAGCAACACGGTAGAATGGCTATGTGTCTGCTGATCTTCCATAAAAGAGAAACACCGCTGAGAAAGGAGGTTACTGCCAAGTTACTGCGTACCGCACACCTCTGTATTGGTATAATGAGTCGAGGTTAAACGCGGTGTTGAAAACCCACCTCTCAAAGCAAAGTGGCAAAGGCGCGGCAGGCCTCGTTCGTTCCCAGCAACGTCGTTTCTGGTGCGCTTGACTTTGTTGGATAAGCCAAGGATAAGCTTGAAAAAATGTATGATGAACAAATATTGACAAATAGTAATATACGGCGTCGCGGGATTATTGTGTCAAGTCACAGACTTCTAAACTCCACTCTGAAGCTGTGTGGCGTGATATCGTCGCTTGAAGACGGACCTACGCTACAAGCAGCGAAGATGGCGTTATTCTATCCGCGACTTCGACCATCAAGAAACCATCAAGAGTTTTGAACATCATAACGTCGGAAATGCGTTATGAGGAATCGTAACGTCATTCTATCGTCCGTGGGCTTCGAGTTCAATCAGACCTGTCAAATCTTCAATTTAGGGCTGCTTAACTCTCCAATAATTTGAACTCATGATCGTGCAGGTGAGTCCGACATCTGTTGAGAAACGGTAACGAAGGCTGGAATGGAAGAAATATGCCTTCTAAACAGACGGAGGAAAGGGTCATGAGTCTCAAGTAAAGCGCTGAGGCTCCCATGAACCTTCCCGTATTCAAGGATCTTAAACCTACTAAGGAACGACTAACGGTGAACAAGGCCCGACTGCATCATGTGGGTCAGGCTACTGCCTGTTCATACGCGACAACTTACCCCATACAATATCGCTTTGATTAAGGTCCAAACGATGGAGTAGATACTATGCCATGGTCAAAAACGAGGGATCAATTGGGAAATTAACGTCAATTAATTATGAGATTAGCGACAAAGTAAGAATTGGGGATACAGCAAGTGTATTTATCAGTTTTCAAAAAATATGAGGGTTTTAGCAGAAAATCCGAGAAAGAAGGGAGTCGTTTTAGACGAGGTCAACTTTATGAGGACTTTGGAAGCCGAACATTCGGTAGAACTGTTCAGCGACCTGCACACGCAAAATGTGTGACACAGCTGCACAGACAAAAGCATTACAACTGTCCCAGAGAGACTCGAACTCTCGATCTTCCGATGATTGGATATAACAGTCGGACGCCGTAACCAACTAAGCCATGGGACATGTGTCGGAATGTAAAAATAGTCATATGTGGGGTTGTTAGTACCTGCACATCAATTCATGCAATGTTTGAGGTCAAGGGGCAAAAAAAATCGACCCCGGTTTTTTTTTTTCAATGCTGGAGGCCTGTTGGACAAAATTTCCAAAATCTTCTAAATCCTTATGTGTACCTGATCCAATTCAGCGCATACACGCTACTAGGATGTCATATTGTAACAATTGTAACAACGCCATATCCAAGCCATATCGATGTGACATTGGGCACGACCCATGGACAACGGCATCACGCCACAATTCTTACTGCGGGGTTTAGCAGTCGAAGAAGCGGTCTCGTTGAAGCTTCGCGCCGTTGGTCAGCCGGCATTGTTCATTTCAGGCCGGGTATCATTTTCTTCGCGTATGAGACGTAGAATATGGAGTCCATGGCTTGGCTTGCATTTTATTTTTATTCCTAGCAATGGATGGTTTGAAGCTGTATATTAAACAACTACATTGCAAAAACGTCTCAAGTTAATCATCCTTAAATTTTATTTTGCCACTGGCTTGACAGAGGTTGTTTGCTTGGCAGGCCCCGGGCCTTTGCTGGTCGGACCGCTCTCACTCCGACATATGGAGTCAGCGGGTCTCATCAGAAGCTGCTTGGGTTTCCAAGCTGTCTGTCATAAGTACGCATTTTCACTTGTGAATCATCAGGTGTACAATGTTACGGAGCATCAGCAAATCAGGGGAAATACCGTGAGCCATCGTAAGGTCCGAAATCGATCACAATCCACTACAATCATCACAATTTACTATAACATTTCAACCCCCCTCACAACGTCTAATGAGGCTTTATCATCGCTGCGCTTTTACGCAATCTCTCACAATTTAAAGCAACATTTTACAAAGCCGGGCTACTATAAATTCTTTTGTTACATTATGATCTGTTTTGATAGCTTATGAGGGATTCTCAACTGTCCAATCCTTTCAATTTAATGGTTTGTAGGTTGAAACATATGTATATTATTACGTTACAGATACAACAAGAACTAATGAATATGATGCTGGCATGCCTAAAGAGGGTGGATAGAGCAATGATCTCGAATGCAGAACGCCTGCTGTGCGGACTCCTTTGTGCGACAAAGTTCTTCATCCGAAGCCATGGCTCGCTCAACCATATGGAGGGAAAAGACCTGGGAGGCAAGCCGTTGTCTTTTGCGAAGTCGAGCGTTGATGTCGATGGCAACGACTCGGACGCTGGGGCTGGCAACGGCACAAGCAAGGAGGCCGATGGCGCTAACACCGAAGACAAGAACGGGTTGACCAGCAGTGAGGTTCGCGCGGCGCGTACCGTGGATGAGAACACACAGGGCTCCAAGAGTGCGGCTTGCTCAAATGAGATCGGTTAGAGAGAAACTTTCCACCAAGGAAGGGCAGGAAACTCACGGGAGGGTAAGGCCATACTGGAGCGGCATATACACCAGCTCACTGATGTGGCCAACATCAGTGAGCGGGTGTATGCACAAAACTCGGGGAGCGTAGTGGGGAAGCAGGTGGAGGTTAGGAACAAGTCCAAAAATTCCGATTCGCAAAGTTCAACATGAGTCATATGTCACGATATTCCGAAATCAGCCGAACCTACCCGATGACTCCGTCTGTCTCTGCCCAAAATCACAAAATCTGCTGACAACTTTAGTTGATATTGTCGAGAAGTGTTCGCGTTCATCAGGAGCTGAGGGGTGCTATAGTTTGACAAATTCGTCCGTCATCACACTGTCTCATAATTGAAAATAAGAGTTATATATATGATTTTATCTAACTACAAGACTACGAGGAGGAGACAAGGATTGCGAGGCATTGTCAGAGATTGTGATCTGCCGTCATCTGACTAATATCTCGTGAGAAATAAAAGGTAATATCAGAACTTCACCGATTTGCTGTAGGCTCGTGACCAGCCTGTATATGATAACTATTGAACTTGTTCTCCATTTTATGTATTTTTCACTCAATATATTTGTTGGAATGAGTGAAAAATACATAAAATGGAGAACAAGTTCAATTTACCTTTTAGAGGAGATTATCAAATTTTCTAACCCACAGACTTTATGAAACTCATAACAATAGTAGGGAGATCCAGTGTTCAAAATATCTCCTCCTCAAGCTGTGAATTGCTTCCAGTAGGCTGTAGTCATTCAGAATTTCCCATTTTGTTACATCCCATTTTTGGCAGGTGTCACAGTCAATGCCCTGCCTTATCCTGAGTTTTCATTTGTTCATCCCCAAACTTGGTATATACAATTTACACCTCCTTAGCTATATTTTATAGACCAGAGCTTAGTACTCAAAGTGTTTGATTCTTGTGTTATACCACCAGCTTTGTCCAAAAAATGACTGGACAATCATTTTGTAGAGTCAGTGTACATACCCAACAAAGAACTGAGCCCATAGACCAGTGACCGTTCTGTATATGAGAAGTACCTGTGATATACAGACTGGTAAATCTGAGTTTAAATCCACGTACCATGCAGCAAATATCGAAGTTATCATTAGTGTTTGAAGGTTAGGTCAGCTAACTGGAAAATAACCAAGACCAGACTGGACCTAACTGCAAAAAGACTGGACTGTGGTTAGTGGTTAGTCAATTCTGAAAATGAAATAACCAGTTATTTTGCAGTTAACTAACCATTAAAAACCCGGTTATGACTGGTTACAACCAACCCTATTATACCCCTTCAAAACACATCTAAAAGCATGAGAAACGCTAAAAATCTGACAGAGTTATGGTCAAATCTCTAAAATATTGGTGAAAAGAGTAGACTTTCAAGAATATTATCATAAAATTGTCAATTCTTCACCAAAGTTAGCATTCTTGGGCTTGTTTTAAAGCCACGATGCATGGTAATAATGTTTACTGCAAGAAATATGAGAAATATATGCTGTTTTAATCGATTTTCTATTTTTTCGGTCCTAACTGGTTAGTAACTGTAACTAACCGGTTTTGGTCAGTTATCTTTGGTCCAGTTAGGTTATTTTGGGTCTGGGAACGAACCCTAACCAGTCTCAGTCTCAGTTAGAGCCCCTGGGCACCCAATAACCTAACCTAACCGGACTTTTAAACACTAGTTATCATATACAGGCTGGTCATGAGCCTACTGAGCCCATTGAATCCATGCCAAACCATGTAGGACAGTGAGCAGGTGTGTTTTTTGTCTTTGCTCTCTTCAGGAAGTAAATTTCACAAGAAGTATGGTGCCATAACTGACTGTCGTCAACAGGAGGCCTGAAATTTCGGAATCAGTGTTTTGCACCTTCTTATCCAAGCTTAATTTTCCGTTCTTGAATTGGAGAAATGCATTTTGACCAGAATTCTACTGCTACACGTACCAAGGATGTGTACATTATAGGAAGGCAGGAATTCCGTGAGCTTCAAACCACATTTCAGCTGATCAATTTGAGAAAGTTGTGACTGCCAGCGGTGACTGGTCCAGGTTTTGCGCCATTAGTAGTGACCAGAAATTCAAAAGTTTATTGATTGATTGAACAATCAATATTATATTTGACGCAGGGGCTCCCGACTCCATGAGAACCGAAAGAAAATATCTCTATCTATTTATCACTATAGATTGTGGAGCGTTCCCCTTTCGACAGCGATGAATAAAAGGGCTATTCCATATTGGCCCCAAAAATGGTTGAAATGTGTTCAGACATCAAAGAAGGTCTGAATGTCGGGATAATCTTCACTTCATTAAATACATCCCTCTGACGATAATCAATTTGGTCGAGCCGATAGTTTTTGCCTAGCTAGATGGTAGATTACTGGATCTTCCGACAAGTCTTCCGATGGTGGTGAGGTCGTGGCTTGAATACGACTAGGCGCCCTATTCAGCCTGTCATCACTTTAGAAACAACCAATGGACGAGTTCACTGAAGTAATGGCGAAGTGTCCCTATGATAGCCTGAGCAACTGAGCCTGAACTGAGCCCAACGGCAATGCGACCATGACAATCCCGTCATGCACGTGACTTATTGATCGATCACGTGTGTCTTGTGTTGTGACGTTGCCATCGAATTTTTTCTGTTTTGTCACTCAACCACCTCGTCCCGTTTGCCTTTAGAAACCATCTATCAGCTTTCAAACATGGCCTCGTTCCGAAGATTCATAACAACCGCATCTGCGGGCAAAAATATGTACATCTTCTTTGCTGCTGCTTCGGCAGTGCCTATCTACGCTGTGCTCAATGAACCCAATTCTGTTTCTCCCGATTCTAGGGCTAACGTTTTCGTACGTCACGTCCAAAGTACTAAAAGTATCCTTTGAAGCTGAACGACACCAGTTTGACGTCGCCATCGACGCGAAACCCTCAGGCAGGATCATATTCAAGATGTTTGACGACGTCGTACCGCAAACGACTCGTAATTTCCGGGAGTTGGCGACAGGCCAGCATGGGTTTGGGTTTGCGGGCAGTCGATTCCACCGGGTTATCCCTGGGGTGAGTGTCTCATGAAACCTTAGCGTTTAGCCGTCAATGACATTGGTTATATAGTTTATGCTCCAGGGAGGTGACTTTACGCGTGGTGATGGGACTGGCGGCAAGTCGATATACGGAGAGCGGTTCAAAGGTTCGTCGTTTTTGTCCATCGGCTCTACTTATCTTGATATGGAACCCGCGTAGACGAAAACTTCCAACTGAAACACACTAAGCCCGGTCTTCTGTCGATGGCCAACGCAGGGCCGAACACTAATGGATCCCAGTTCTTCATCACAACCGTTGAAACGAAATGGGTATGTATCTATATATCTTTCATTTTGTACCTCGTTTTTTGCTTCTGTACGGGATTGTCCCGCACATCTCTTTTCGCCTCATCGTTATAATAGCTGGTTCGAATCGTTTTGCCAACTCGAGGCATCTCGTGTGTATCACACGTATCTTCACTCCCAAAGTTTACGCCTCCTTGTCCTTTCCCTTGCCACTTCACCACTCGCAAACCTCGTACTAACTCCAACGCTCCCCGCTAGCTTGACGGGAGGCACGTTGTGTTCGGTGAAGTGGTGGAAGGGATGGACATCGTCAAGGCGATTGAGAAGACCGGCTCGTCCAGCGGGGCGACGAAAAATGCCGTCACTATCACGAGCTCCGGAGTCGTCGAGTGAATCGGGCGAGTGGAAGGTATGAACAAAGTCATTCCCCTCCTTCGATTCCACTGATTCGCTGTAATGGCAGACAAGGATAATCAGTGGGCTATCTACTTTCAACCCTGCTTTTTCCAGGTGTTCCCCACGTCTGTCATCTTTCGTAAATCTTCGTGAGGGATATAGTTGATAATATTTATTTGCTTCACTCTTCACTCAAGTACGCAGGTGTCGTAATAAGCAACTGGATCAGACTCTTCTCAGCCCTTGCTAAATCAGGCGATGTTCAGCCATGCACTCTTCTTCAATCTATTGCCTCCTCTTCGCCTCTAAACTATTTTCATCACGTTAACGAGCCTCAGCCGTCTCAACGTCGTCGCTTACTTGGTATCTTTTCAATATCGTGATCGTCAGCGGGCGATACTGCTCAGATGCTCGCGACTCACAACCACACACCTTTTCAATGGCAACGGCGATGCTCACCTACGATTACTTGATTACCATTATGGAGATCAATTTCATGTGGTCGTCGCCTGTAACATCATGAAGGTGCTTTCTCTCTGCAACGCTACATGCCTTTCATCCTAGTCTGGCTTGTCCTCTGGCGTGCGTTATCCCTTTATTGCATTCAATACCCGTCTCATCATTCAGATCCCACCGGGAGCTACAATGGCATACACTGCGCCAACATCGATCGTTGCCTGTGAGGGGAAACAGTTGCCCAAAAGACTGATCACGACTCACCCGTTTCCAAATACATAGATGTGATTTAGGTCAGGCTTCTGGTTGTGAGGACTTTGGCCTGTGTCAGCGCAGTGCCATTCAGAGCATTTATTGCGGATCGCTCGACGCAAGCGGAGCATGTCAGAGCTCCTGAACCCCGTTCCCCGTATCTCTTTGCTTCGAGTACTTCACCATGTGGCCTGTCTCTGGGGGCATCAGCCTATTTTTTCGTAGGCGATGTTGAGAATTAATCAGCGAATGAAATTTGAAATGTCCAATTTTGATTGACGACGGAAGGGTAAAGGTAGTCAAAATATATTTTCTTTGTTTGCTACACACACTTGAGACAGGGTCCAAAAAATATTCAGGACAAATCTGGACATATGCACCTCCATATTTGTCGCCATTTGTAAAATAAGGAAGCTGGTATGCATCCCGAAAACATCAATTGTTAAAATTACAAAATGTGGAACAATAAGAATGTTGAGCACATTCAATTTGCATATTTAAACAATTTCTTTGTGAAATAATCTTGGTAGCCATGGCAACACCACTCAGCTGAAGAATATGTTGAAGAATAAAATAATGGACATGTCCACTCAATGTGCTCAATGTTCTTATTGCTCATCAGTTTGAAATTTTGGTAATCAATATTTTTGGGATGCACAGCAGCTTTATTATTCAACAAGTGTCGACAATTATGGAGGTACCTTTGACTAGATCACACATTGGACCCTGCCTCAAGTGACAGTCCGTCGAATTGATTCTTTTCTCTGATATAACAATCTTCGGTTTCGAGGCGCATAATTATAATATCTTCGCATCTTGATTGCCAACCCCAAAAAGGCCGTCTTCATTATCCACAGAGCCAAACAAGGGATCTCTCTTCGGACTGCCTCTTACGATTTACCAACGCCTTCAGACACTGACATTCCTGGACTCGATCTACCTCTCGACTACGAGCCAAAACCTCACAGACTTCTTCCCAACCTCTTGCTCGATGACTACAGACATACTTATCGTCGCATGTTCTTCGACGAAGACAAACCATCGACCCATCAGCTACCCCTTACCACGCTTCGTGAATTCACAATGTTGCACATCATGAACGCCATTACCGATAAAACGGATTGGAATGTCAAAGTTAGTAATGCTCCATTTTCGTAGCATCCGGTCAGTTATTGAATAAGACGTCAGATCTTCGATGATGAGATTCGAGCGAGATGGAAGGCTGAGGCACTAGCTGCGCCAGGGAAGGATGTTACTGAGCCTATGGCGGAGTGGTGCATGGAGGAGCTGAAGTATAAAGCGGCGCGCTTTAGCGAGATTCCAGGTGGCGCGATCAAGGTCTATAATGGCGACGTGGTCAAGTCGGATACCGCCGTTCCGAATTCTCTCAAGGCCCAATTACAAGCTGCCGTGCGGCCTCTTGAAGAAATTCCTGCATGGAAGAAAGACTGACATTCGGGATCCGATGAAAAAGTTCTGGATTTGGTTCATCCAAGCTTGTTTCCCGTTGTTTATGGGCGGACGAGGGCTCTTAGGAAAGGACAAGGGTTCGTGACGTCAAAAAATTGTGTCGCGAGGTGTGGCGAGGGCGACGTGTTGAAGAAGCAGAAGGCTGTGGACGGGTACAGCGCCGATTTCCAATGGTTACCTTGCGAAGTGGACATATCGGGAGAAGATGGGCAAGCCAGGTAAAACGCTTCATAAAATTATCCATCTCCTAATGATATTTTTGCAGAATCACGAGCTACATCAATAATCTACACCCTCAAACACACAAGAACCTCTATGGCATCATCGAAAACATCATCACTGCCTCGATCCCCCTGTGGAACAGCACGCTCGCACCTTTGGTTGACCTCTGGTACCATAAGCATCAACCCAAATCAGTCAACATTGAATATATGTTTAAGGACGGTAAACCGGCTAAAGAGATTACGCCTGATAAACGAGAAGTGATCTTCCGTATTCCCTACTACGATGTGGATTACGATCCAGATCCGGAATATGGCCCCAAAACAGAGGGCCCCCAGCGACTCGAAGGCGAAGATGACGGGTGGTCAGAGTCGTATTGGAATCGGCGGAATCAATGGATCGAAGATACGAGGAAAGTCGTGTTGCCCGAGCCGGGGGTGTTTCGGCCGCTTGAGGAGCCTCCGCTCTTTGATTTGAGAAAGGAGTTTGCAGCGACTGGGTTGCAGATTATTGTCAAACTGGCGAATATCGAACTCACGCCAGAAAAGCCTGAGTATCAGGGAGGGAGTTGGCATGTTGAAGGTCAACTTGTGCGTAACTCTCAGGCCATGTGCTTTCGCGATATTAAGCGTTGTTTTTAGAACGAACACATTTGCGCAACTGCTCTTTACTATTACTCCTCCTCCAATATCACCCCCTCATCCCTTGCATTCCGACAACAGACAGGCGACTTTACGCGCGGCACCATTCAGTATAGGCAGTGGCACTATGACTGGCTTCCTGCTATATTCGGGTGCACACAAGGTGGACCAACTGTTCAATACGTCGGGGGCGTCGACACGCGTGAGGGTCGACTGTTGACGTTTCCCAATATTTTACAACATCAGGTACAGCCGTTCAAGCTCGTGGATCGGACAAAACCAGGCCATAGAAAAATTCTGGCATTGTTTTTGGTCGACCCGAACATCAAGATTGTCAGTTCTGCCAATGTTCCGTGTCAAAGAAAGGACTGGTGGGTGGAGGAAATTGGGGGTGGGTTTGATACGGTGCTACCGAGGGAACTGGGAGATTTGGTGTTTGGGGCGGTGGAGGACTTTCCGATGGGGATGGAGGAGGCAAAAGAAATTCGGCTCAAGCTTATGGAGGAGAGGAAGGCCTCTGTTTCGATTCAGGATCAGCAGTTTGAGGAGGAGATTTTCTCGCTTTGTGAACATTGACGTTCCGAGCCACAAAGTCGTCATGGATATGTCAGAACTATCCCGAGAAAAACATATATAAAGGTTCCAGGCGTTTCCGCTCTACAAACTTTGATCGGAACATGAACAACGCTGGCGCAGGAAGACCGTTTCGTTGCGCACTCAAGAAGTCTGGGAGAGGCTGGTCCCCCACGTTCGTATTTGAGGTCGTCCTTCTCAAATTGCCTACTTTTAATTGAATCGAAATTTGCATTTGCCATTGATCGGGGGCAGCCTTGAAAATTTGAAATTCTGCCGCGGTTCAGCATCATAGATGGTGAGTGAGAAACGATAATTTCTGTCATTTACTGCCCACTCAGAAATGCCTGAGGCCGCATGAACGATTTTTGTCGTGACTCGTCTGATAAGCGTTTGATCTATCTTCAATCTCGAAAGATTGGGGCATCGGGACAAGTTATCGAGGAAGTGGATAGAGACCCACTACTATGTATAGCGGCGAGTTGAAGTGAATGTACCCAAGTGGAATCCCGAGGACCAGGGTGCGAGTAGAGTGGGTTGAGAGTGGGTCGTATCGACGTCGTATGCACAATATACCTCGTTGGCGTCAGAGGAAGGAACAACGCCGAAAGTGACTCTGAGAGGATCAACGCACTTTGATCTGTCAGAATGACTCGAACCCGCTCCGATTTGCGCACATAGTCTACCTGTCAGGAAGAATGATCTGCGTCTAATCACGTGATGATCCTAAACGAGATAACGCTGGCTGGTTGCTTTTAGTCTGACTCAACAGTCTTTGTTTTGCTCGAATTCTTTACTTATCGCTTGGGTCTGGCATTCATTTGCTCTTTGACCATAACCATTAGACCATCGACCTCATTGATGACAACCGCCCATCACGTTCATGGCATCACGGACAATGATGGGGATCTTATACAGCACGACGACTATCCGTGGCTTGACGACTTTCCGTCACAGCCATTGGACGACGATAGACGCTCTCTTGACGCATCCTTGGACTTGACGTCACAACACGAAGACGACCTAGTATCCTACCGATCCCCGCCGTTTAGAGAAGCAGACCTACCCAGTACCAGTGCAAATGCGCTGACGGAGCTGGAGGGGTTGGAGGCGCCGTTACCTGTTCCACCGCCCAGAGCTAGGGGGTTTGGTTATAATGATGATGACGACGATAGCCATTGGACGAGGGAAAGGGAGGAGGGCCATACGAGGTCGCCTACGCTGCCTAGGTGGGTGTTTTACCTTGCTCCATGCATTTTCCTTTCTTTCCTGATCCGTAACATTGAACCCTTGTTCGTTGCGTGAGCGGTTCCTTGCATGCACGACCCCACCCCAGAGGGAGGGCACGTGTTCGTCCCTCTTCCTCTGAGTCTCTACCTCTAAACAACAAATGTCTAACCATTTACCGCCCTGCAGCCCTCGCTCCTCATCACACTCCCGCTCACCAAGCTCTTCAGCGCCCAGTCCGGCAGGAAATACTCTCGACTCGCTCTCCCGCACCATATCGTCTCTGAAGAGTTACGTGCCCTCAGTTCCATCGGGGGGAACACTCAAGTCGTACGTCCCCTCATTGAAGACGTATGCAGAGCCAAGCCCCCCATCCGTCTCGCGTCCGTTGAGTTTTGCGACGTTTAGTGCTGGAGAGGTGGAAAAGGGGAGTGCGAGGGAAAGAGGGAGGGGTAGGGGCGGGATTCGGGGAGATGCGTATCAGCGGGAGGAATATGTTGACTTTCAGGGCGATACGCGTCGAGGTAGGGTTGGGCGCGATGAAGACCTGTATTGGGATCAGCCGCGGGAGGTTGCTTTGGACGAGCGATCTCGGCCTCGACAGGAGTTTGAGAGGGACTATGAGCTTGACCAAGACTTTGATGGATATGTTCGGGGTAAAGCTGAGGCCCGAGAAAGGTTGAGTGGGGAGAATCAGGCGGATAGGGAGCTGATGAGGTGGGCTGAAGGCGGGGATGAGCCACTATTGAGGCAAGAGGAGGACCGGCTTTTGTCTAGTAGGGAGGAGGATAGGCTTCCGCAGGTCCGGAGGAGTGAGCAGGGCGAACCAGCACGGAAGATCGAGCCAGATGGTCCTTCTTCACGCAGGTCAGAGCAAATAGCTCCACCTTCTTGGAGGGTCCCGTCAAGGAGGGAAGAAGGGCAGGACATGGAGAGACGTCATCATGTGCGACAGAAGACGGTCGTTCCTCCACAGACGGCCCTTCCGAGTCGACAACAAACCATCGTTCCAGGGAGACATAACGCGCTTCTTGACCGACAACATACCATCGTCCCTCAGAGGGAGGAGGAGGATACGCCCATTTTGGCGTTTACGAGGCAGGAGAGTGGGTTGGCGCAGGCTATGAGAGGCGTTGCTGGCCAGGCGTCTGGTCGGGTGGGTGCGGGTGCTGCTGATCCCTCGTCCGCTCGACCTGGACAAACGGTCGTTGATCTTGGTGAAGAGGATGGATCTGCACAAGGTGCCGAGGAAAGAGGAGGAGGAGGAGGGGGCGCGAAACATGCGTATGCGCATCCTGCGCGTGAGGCGGATTTGATATCGTGGGCGAGGTGGGATTTGTTGGGTGATAAGTAAGTTTTCCTTTCGTCTCCAAGTTCTTCAAACAATTTACTCAACCCCCACATCTCCCTACAGACGTCTCCTCATCCTGTCGTACATCCCATCCGGCCTCCAGATCTGGGACTGTACGGACCTAGGCACCGTCACTGAAGTTCTTAATCTCAACTTTTCGGGCGCTGAGTGGAAGGAGTTGGAGTTTGATGTTGGGAGGGTAATTTATGCTGCTTTGCTTTCGTCGGATAAGTCCAGTTCTTTCAAGGAGGACAGACCATTCCTTGGGATTATGTACGTCATTTCGTCTTCGTACCTTTCATGGGCTGATGTGAGTAGCTTGGAATCAGTACAGGACCCAGAGTCGACGACTTTTGTCGTTTATTCGCTTAGTAGACATCGGGTGATTGTTAGGGTGCCCGTACCCGGCCCTGGTGCGCGTGCAGAGTCATTCTTGTCTAATGAAGATTTTATTGTGGTTGTATGTTCTCTTTCGTTTCTCAATTGTGGCTCCTTGCTGACCCAGAACAATCTTTCTAGAGCACCACCACACCGTTACCCGTCTTACATATCCTTTCAAGCACTACCTTCGAACTTTTGTCAACCATCCCTTACAGCGCTTTGGCACCCTATACAACCCCGTCATCGCATTCATTTCCAACATCGCATTCAACTCTTACACCAACGCAACAACAACACTATATATTCAACAACCCTATATTATTAGGAACCAGACAAGGAATTTCAATGACACCTATAGACAAACCCAATACCCACCACCATCACCATCACCCCCGTCCACACGCAATATTTGCGTTATCAAAGCGCCTCTTGGCCTACGCCTGTCCTCCACCTTCATCCTCCTCATCATCAACCACAACCACGAAAGACCACCGTCGACTCTCTTCTACGTCCACCCAAACCTCCGCATCGGCAGGGAGCAGCAGCGCCGCTTCGTCATGGAAGAGCATGACCCAGGCGCAGGGGGAGCTCGCGCTTAAAGTTGGAGGGAGCATGTTGACCGGGATGAAGTTCCTTGGCGGGATGGCATATGATGCTGCTTTGAAACGCGGCGGTGGAACGGGAGAACCACCACCACCACCGATTAATAGGTTGTTCTCGAGGAGCGCGCCGACGAAGAGGGAGGGGGAAGAAGAGGAGGAGGAGGAGGAGAAGAGGCGGAGAAGGTATTCGGGTGAACCCTCCGTTGCTGCTGCTGCCAATCAGGTGTTTGAGAGGGAGAGGAAGGCGGGAGGGTATCATGTTCGAGTGGTTGATCTGGCTTCGCTTGCGACGACGGGGATGGGGAATCATCCGCGGGTTGTGTTTGAATTTCAGAGTTCGCGAAGTCAGCCGATCGCGGATTTGAGGTTCTCGAAGGATGGGTGTTCGTTGGCTGTTATTCCGAGGGACGGGCATCTTATCAAGGTGTTTCAGCTCCGCCCGGCTCCTGCGGTTCTTTTTGGTGGTGGTCGTGATAACGTGGCTTCGCAACCGGGTTCTTCAGATTTGGAGCAGAGTAGGTCTGTGTGGCATTTGTATGATTTACGTCGGGGAAGGACGTCGGCGGTTGTTGAAGGTGTGGACTGGGCTCAGGATGGGCGGTGGTTGGCGATTGGGACGCGGAATAGGACGGTGCATGTCTTTCCTGTGAACCCGTATGGCGGCAAAGTGGATGTGAAGAGTCATTTGGAAGGGAGGGTACGAAATGTACTCGCTGGAGCTACTGTGAGTTTTTCTTCCTCCTGTGGTAGAAAGATTGGCTGAGAACAGTTCGTTCCTTTTAGATACCAGCCAAGACGGAAGTAACCCCCTTGGTCCGCCTGCGTGGTGTCAGGTCACAGCAAGTATCACCATCGTCAGCTTTGGAGCACCATCCGTCATTAATTGCCCCTCTTGCCTTTATCTTCCTCAACCCTTCCGATGTCACCATTCCTCCAAATTTACTCCCCTCGCTGCCCACAGTCGTTGACCCGACATCTTCTCCTCCCCTTTCCCCTCGTCGCGCCGAAGATCGCTCACGAAACTACCAAGATGTTCTCCTATTCGATTCTGCGGATGGTATGCTCTCCCTTAGGAGATTAACGGTCGAGCAGCATCCAAAGGAACCAAGTTTGCCTTCTACCGTCGTCCAAGCGTCCGTTTCCGCTGCTACGAGTATTTCGTTCCCTGGGATGGGTGGTGCGGGGAGGTTGAGTACATCGCCTTCGAGCGCAGGCGCTTCTGCTTCGACTAGGCCTTCTGCGTTGACGAAGATGATGGATACGCCTGAGCTGGAGCTGTCAGCCAAGGGGGGGGTCGTCGCTACGTGGAACTTGCAACGTCGTAGGGATTGGGGTGAGATTAAGAGGCGTTTGGTCGATACCCAGCGGATGCGTGATTGGGGAGGTTTGACGGAGAATCTTGAGTAAGTTCATTTCTGTTCCCATGACTTGGACTGAGCTGATTAGTCCCACGTGCAGCTGGCTATCTCAGGCTGAGATAACGACCTTTTCAAAGTCCCAGCACGTTCTCCCGCGGTCCCTTTACCTCTGCCACCAATTCTCCTTCCATACCTTGGGAGAAGACTACCATGCCCTCATCCGACGATACCAGTTTGACATCAGTGGTCACAAGATCGAGGTCCGCAAGGAAGTTGAAGTCAACGCTTTCTCTTCTACCACTACGGAAGACGGTGCCGGAGAATCGTTCGTAGAAGGCAGTTTCTCCTCTTCACCCCGCGACATTCGCCGATTTTCAACGTCCTTCGACGAACCTCTTGCCTCTGCTCTCGGGGCCGGCTTCAACCACTCTCCTCAATCCAACCAGGCCATCATACCCATGTTCCCAAACGGCACCCCAGGCTCAAAGCCCAAGTCGTTTAGGAGCTCGATTCCCATTCGGACGATGGCGGGGCTCGGAGATGGGATGAGTGAAGGTTTTGGAAGGATCAGGAGGGAGATCCAGCATAAAGTCAGATCTCCGTTGCTGGCGCCCAGAAGCGATAGCAGCGTATCGGCCAGCGTTCCTTTGGAGTTTGACGAAGAGGATGAGGACTTTTTGGGAGGTGGGGTTGGCGCTGTGTTGGATGCGCCAGTGCCCGTTTCAAAGCAACGTGAAGGTTCAAGTGTATCGCGGGGGACGTCCAGAGACGATGGAGTGAGCGTGGACTCGTCCCTCTCTACTTCTAGTGCGAGTGTCAATATCGACGATGACGTCGTTGGAACCGTTGATGAGGACATCTGGCAGGGGTGGGATTACCAAGACAAGATGGCGATCGAAGAGGCGGAACGTTTTGATGATATCTCTGCGGTAGGGTTTTTGAATGCGGAACAGGAAGTGTCGAAGCCCATTGCCACTACGGATGGTGAGGGTCGGAAGCGGACAGGCAGGGAAAGGCGGAAGCATTGATCTTTAAATATAATTGTGTAGATTTTTGAAGGATGTTATTTTGTAATCAACGTTCACCCATACATGCTAGGGACGACCTTAAATACGAATGGAGGCCAGCTTCCAGACTTCCTGTGTCAGCTGGGAGTCCATAGCCAAATGTTCTTCCTACTCCAGCCTTGCTCATGTTCTGATCTGTTGCGTGGAGTTTTGTAAGTCCGTAACGCCTGAAATATTTACACACTTTCTCCACAAAACCAATGGAACTCAGTAGAGTTGTCACTCACATGTTTGTTTCTCTGTTGTCTGCCCAGAACAAGTGTAGAGCCAAATGCAGGGACCAATCGAAAAAACAAAGACAGTTGTGAGGTTTGTTAGCCGTGCGCTTTTTAATTCTATTCTCGATGAACAGTAAAAATAGTAACCCCCTTGAATCCGTCTTCAATCAAGTAGAATACAGTTTCAATTGAGGAACTTCAATGTTCACAAAGCGAGAAAGTCCCCTCTTCAAACTCTTGATTCTTTTCCGAAACAGAAGCCTTCCTCTCCTCCATAAGCTCGAGCCGAAATTCTTTTGCCTCCTCCATCCCAATCGGGAAGTCCTCCGCAGCTCCAAACACCAAATCTCCCAGTTCCCTCGGTAGCATTGTATCAAAACCACCCCCAATCTCCTCCCTCCACCAGTCCTTTCTTTGACACGGAACATTCGCAGAACTAATGAATCTTGATGTTCGGGTCGACCAAATATAGTGCCAGAATTTTCCTGTGGCCTGGCTTTGTCTGATCCGCAAGCTTGAACGGCTGTACCTGATGTTGCAGAATATTGGGAAACGTCAACAGTCGACCCTCACGCGTGTCGACGCCCCCGACGTATTGAACAGTTGGTCCACCTTGTGTGCACCCGAATACAGCAGGAAGCCAGTCATAGTGCCACTGCCTATACTGAATGGTGCCGCGCGTAAAGTCGCCTGTCTGTTGTCGGAATGCAAGGGATGAGGGGGTGATATTGGAGGAGGAGTAATAGTAAAGAGCAGTTGCGCAAATGTGTTCGTTCTAAAAACAACGCTTAATATCGCGAAAGCACATGGCCTGAGAGTTACACACAAGTTGACCTTCAACATGCCAACTCCCTCCCTGATACTCAGGCTTTTCTGGCGTGAGTTCGATATTCGCCAGTTTGACAATAATCTGCAACCCAGTCGCTGCAAACTCCTTTCTCAAATCAAAGAGCGGAGGCTCCTCAAGCGGCCGAAACACCCCCGGCTCGGGCAACACGACTTTCCTCGTATCTTGGATCCATTGATCCCGCCGATTCCAATACGACTCTGACCACCCGTCATCTTCGCCTTCGAGTCGCTGGGGGCCCTCTGTTTTGGGGCCATATTCCGGATCTGGATCGTACTGCACATCGTAGTACTAGGGGATACGGAAGAGCACGTCTCGTTCATCAGGCGTAACGTCTTGAACCAGTTTACCGTTCTTCAACGTATATTTAATGTTGGCATATTTGAGTTGATGCTTATGGTACCAAAGGTGAATCAAAGGTGCGAGCGTGCTGTTCCACAGGGGGATTGAAGCAGTGATGATTTTTTCGATGATGCCATAGAGATGTTTATGTGTTTTAGGGTGTAGGTTATTGATGTAGCTCGTGATTCTGCAAAAATATCGTTAGGAGATGGATAATTCTTTGAAGCGTCCTACCTGGCTTGCCCATCTTCTCCCGAAATGTCCACTTCGCAAGGTAACCATTGGAAATCGGAGCTGTACCCATCCACAGCCTCCTGCCATTCCTCCAACACCTCGCCACACAATTTCTTGGCGTCACGGACCCTTGCCCCTTGATAAGAGCCCTCGTCCGCCCATAAACAACGGGAAACAAGCTTGGATGAACCAAATCCAGAACTTTTTCATCTGATCCTGGATGCCAGTCTTTTTCCCATGCAGGAATTTCTTCAAGAGGCTGCACGGCAGCTTGTAACTGGGCCTTGAGAGAGTTCGGAACGGCGGTGTCCGACTTGACCACGTCGCCATTATAAACCTTGATCGCGCCACCTGGCATCTCGCTAAAGCGCGTCGCTTTATACTTCAGCTCCTCCATGCACCACTCCGCCATACGCTCAGTAATATCCTTCCCTGGCGCATTTAGTGCCTCAGCCTTCCATCTCGCTCGTATTTCATCATCGAAGATCTACCGTCTTATTCAATAACTGACAAAATACTTCGAAACTGGAGCATTACTAACCTTGACATTCCAATCCGTTTTATCGGTAATGGCGTTCATGATGTGCAACATTGTGAATTCACGAAGCGTGGTAAGGGTAGCTGATGGGTCAATGGTTTGTCGTCGTCGGAGAGGCGACGGTAAGTATGTCTGTAATCATCGAGCAAGAGGTTTGGAAGAAGTCTGCGACGTTCTGGCTCGTAGTCGAGAGGTTGATCGATTCCAGGAATGTCATTGTTTGAAGGCATTGGTAAATCGTAAGGAGGAGTCCGAACTTGAGAGAGACAAATTTAGTTCTCGGATCATCACGTGATTAGACCCGATACCAATGTGCGCTCCGATTTGCGCGTTCGCGTCATTATTCTCACAGATGAAACTGTGTTTATCTCCCCGAGTCCCTTTCGGCGTTGTTCAAATGCTCTGGCTCTGATGAGTATACTCATCTCTGCTGCACTGTGCGCACGCCCCACTCACACACTGCTCGCACCGTGGTCTACACTCCACTTGAATACAATTAACGTCGCTATACATAGCAGTGGGTCTTCATCCCAACTGCATCCACTTTCTCTATCACTTGTCCAGATACCCCAATTTTTTCAGATCAAAGATAGATCAAACGCCCAGTATTAGACGACAAAATTCCTCCAAGCGGCCGGATTGCAAGAGCTTCAGGCTTGAACAAGCATAGGTATGAATTGGGCATGAATAATGGTACACATCTGTCCCCAAACGTAAAAAACTGCATCTCTGTGATTTGAGAAGTTGAATCGCTGGCCCTTGGCTCAGCTTTGATAATTTGGGCTACACCCGTTCGAGTTACAATCCAATAAATTACCTATCAAAATATCAAACCCCAATCAATTCTCCCACCCGTTCCTGAGGCTATTTCGTTCTGAGATCAATTTTTGACCTCTTGAAGTTGGCTCACAGACACACGTCATCTGTGGTAAATAAAACTAATAGTCGAAACCAAAATGCGGCGAATATGCCGATGAACACCCCTCCAGATCCAGACCATCCAGAGGATAAAAATAATCCCCTCGTGCCGGCCACTCTGCGTGATTGATGTTTACAACAGTAGATAGCTTGGTGTTGTTTGATTCGGGGAGAATGATGGCGCCAGTCGTGTAGCGCTGGGAAACTTTCATCCCAGTCCCAGTAAGTGAGTCAAGGAATTCATCAAATTTCTTTGGCTCGCGGCGACCGAAACTGACGTATACTTGTTCGAGCACCCCAACCTTTTCCGATTTACTCCGCTCTTGAACCAAAGACAACAATTGCGCTTCGGAAAAACTCACGCAATCGCTCCCCATGCATTGAAAGGCTTCAAGCATAGGGCAAAGACAATCGGCCTTTTCGCCGGAAGGAGTGAGGCAATCAATAACTTCGTCATCGACGACAGATGGAGGACCGGAGTAGTTGGTGATACGGAGGTGGATGAGGAGTGGCACCGATTCGAGGAAACAAATAAGTTCATCCCGAGTCAATAAAGGGATATCTATGAACAATTGCTTCACAGAGTCACCATTACGCGAAAGAAAGTCTAACCATGAGGGCCGACTCGCGTGACCGCCGGAGAACGTTCCCTGAAATTTAATCTCAAGATGACGGAGTCTCGGAAGGTCAAGATGCTTCAAATGACACTCGCCCCGCCCCCCGCTGAGCTTGAGAAAAAGGTTCTCGAGGAGGGGAAGAGTAAATGTGTATTAGGATTGTACTTCATGATCGGGTTGTTGGACGATGCCATATGTTGTGCTTCCCAGACTCAAGCCACAGCTGACAAGCAGTGGGCATCTCCTCAACACTTTGATAACATCGCCATAGCTGAGACTCGTCGAGTTCCCTCTGAATTGGTGTGAGCCGTCGAGATCCAGATTGAGGTGGGTTAGCTGCGACCAACGCACTGGCAATGAGAGGAGGTTCTCTTTCAGATGTGATAAGGAAAGCTTCCGCAACTTTCTAGCTGACAAAAGACCCGAGAATTCCGCCCAGCGCCCACCGGCATTTGAGGCGGGCGAATCCCATGCAATTGTTAGAGTCCCACCGGCGATGACGAGAGATTCCAGCAGCGGCACATCATCCTCTGCCAGCTGTTGTAGACGGGTAAATGAGTCGTCCGTCGCCCTAAAAATGACTTTTTTCCATCGGCGGCTGGAAGCGAGTATCTGCGCTATTGCAACTTCAGAAGTATACATCTTCGAGGTTTCCGATCCACGATCATACACGTGCGTTGGATTGCAGACGGAGATGGAAATGGGGCACTCTCCTGAACGGCTGATCCATTCCCCTGCCGCCTCGCAGCGCCTCTCCACCTTGGCAATAAATGTGGGATCTGGTTGATCAGGGACTTCCCCAGTTTCAGTGATCTGCATGACAGGTGTCGGTATGTGAAGGCTCGCCCAAAGCCGTGGGGTTGACAGTGCAATGGACCTCCACGCACTACATATGCGACCCAGCAAAGTTGGAACTTCCTGAGAGCTCATGACAGCATTGCGACCTTCAGGGACGCAATGAACGAAGATCTCCCCGAGGACGTCGAGCGGAAGTTGTCGAATAGGAAAGATCAGTGCTCGATCTCATCGCTCAGAGCACGACGCTCGTGATGTAGCTCGTCGAGGATTGATTGCACCCTGTCGATCTCAGCGTCAAGGCTAGATAAACGCTTGAGCGGTTCGCTCAAAAGCTGTTTGATTTGAAGAGTTTCTGATTCCGTAGGAGTATAGTTGGTGTGGAGATTGGATGCATACGGTGAATCTATCTGGGTGGTTGCTGATGGCTGTTTTGGACTGACAGTTGTAGGAGGATTCTGACTCATTGCAACCGAGTTTGAGTGAACGGAGCAATAGTATGGTGCTTGGTTATTTGGATTCTTGAAGTGCTTCTCGTGGTCTTCCAACCTGGGAAGTGATTGTCCAAGACCAACGATGACAGTGATGGTGGTGCGGAAGGAAATAAAAAAAAAAGGTTAGCAAAAAGTGTGGCGTAACTACTACTTACATATCATTAGAAAGATACCGTGATTTACGGAAGGCGTTTGAACATCTCCCAAGGCCTGAGATACACGGCGAAGTTGATGCTCATTGCTAATATTACTAAAGGGGCCACGTACCGGTGACTGGATCTCATCCTTTTGTTGCGTTGAAACCTTGAGTACTTACCTTGCAAGTTGCAATTGAGCAAATGATTGAGTGGCAGGATACCGGCAGCTTCCGTGCCGTGCCGATCATTTCTTCATTGGGCAAGTTCCCGCCCGTCACGGAAGAACTGTTCCCAGTGCACTCAATCGTTTTGCTCGACTTGGAATGGTAAAGAAGGCGACGTCCGCGGCTGCAAAAGCACAGAAGAAAGCCAAGATAGCTCAAAAAGTAGAGAAGAAAGAGAACAAAAAGGCTGTCAAATCTAAATCATCATCTACCACATCCACCTCAAAGTCAACGTCGAAGTCATCAAAGGCGAAATCTAGAGCGGACTCAGACACGGACGACGATGATCTGGAGGGAATACTTGATAAGGTATGATACTTTACGAGATGCACGGTGACTGGTTTGACGGTCGTCGTGATCAGTAGATGCGGAGAGAGTGGGAAGAAGCACACACTGTGACTGAAGAGCTAGTCGAAGGTCCACCAAGCAGACGCGCAAACGCTACACTCACGACGTGTCCTGTAGGGAACCATCTATGGTGCATCGGTGGCGAATTCTTCAGTGAGGATGGGCGAGCTGTGAGCTTTTCCCTCACTTCAATTCAAATGTAATCCATCTGATAACACCACAGCACTTTTACAACGACGTCTTTCGGTACACCCCGGAGAAAGACGAATGGCGCAAATTCGTATCTCCAACGTGTCCAGGCCCACGATCCGCACATGCAGTCGTTGCCTCTCCCGCGGGGGGCGGGAAGTTGTTCCTCTTTGGAGGAGAGTACAGCTCTCTGCACCAGAACACGTTCCATCACTACCGCGACTTTTGGGTGTTCGACATTCAGACACATTCTTGGGACCGGATTGATACAAAGGTCCGCCCAAGCGCGAGATCGGGTCATCGGATGGCACTTTGGAAGGGTTTTGTCGTTTTGTTTGGAGGGTTTTATGACCCTGGGGTTACCAGTGCGCTTTCATGCTTTTCTTACGTGTATATTTCCTGAAAGCCAACCCAGCTAGGTACCTTAACGACCTATGGGTCTTCGATATGCAGGAGTACAAATGGTCTCAAGTTGAGTTCAAGGAAACAGAGCTGAAACCATCGTTCGTCTCTCCGACACCCATTACATTCACGTGTGACTCTCTTCTTAGTGCGCGAAGTGGATTCTCCTTCCTTCCCTGCACCGACGGCATCATCCTCCATGGTGACTGCACTTCCTGTCTTTGATTTACTCTTGACTGAATGTCCATTTCGCAGGAGGTTACTGTAAAGAATACTACAAAGGCAAACGCCCCGTTGGCCGGATGCTTGAAGATACATGGCTTCTAAAGTAAACCATTCCTCAACCATCTGCGCTTTGACTTACGCTGCGTTTGTAGGATCACTACACCAGAGCCACCCACAAGCTCTTCTACAACCGCTCCCACCAAATCCAAACCATCTTCGAGTTCTCAGCACAATCACGGTTTATCATTTAAATGGGAACGACGAAAACGCGCTTCGGACGCGTATGCCCCATCCATCCGCTCAGGGTGCACGATGGCGCTTTGGCCCACACGAGGGATGGGCATTCTGTTTGGAGGGGTGACGGATGAAGATAAGGACGAGGAGACTTTGGACAGTGTGTTTTGGAACGATCTGTACGTTTCATTCAGACGATTCTTCTCCATCTCGGCCCTCAATTCACTTTGTTCATTCCCTTCGCGTTGTTAGATATGGTTACCAACTTTCTGGTAAAGGACGGTGGACGAGTTTGGCGCTCAAAGCACCAAAATCTAAAGGAAGTGCGAAAGCGAAGAAAAAGAAGCAGAAGGAGAAGAATTGGAGCGATAATGAAGGAAGCGGTGACGATGCTGGGTTGGTGGCGGAAGACAGTGAAGTGGTGCGCGTGCTCTTGACTTCAATTCTCTGGTATCAATAGTTGGATTTCTAGGCCGACAAGACCCCAATCACGCCACTTCAATCTGCACCCTCCAAGTCAAACAACCATGAGACCAGTGCTAATGAAGACCCCAATCTCACGCTTCCAATACCACGGTATAACACCATGCTTACCGTTCTGAGAAACACACTTTACATGTACGTCTTCTCCGGATCGTAATCAACTTGCTTCAGTTGACCACCTACCCCATGGTAGATATGGTGGGATATATGAACGTGGTTCTCGGGAATATACACTGGACGACTTTTATTCCATTCAACTGGACAAGCTGGACAAGTGCACTTGTTTGAAGGAGAGTGCGGTGATTGTCCCGGACGTGGGAGAGGAGAGTAGTAGCAGTGATGACGACGACGACGAAGACAACGAAAGTGGGGGTGACGATGATAGTGATGATGAGGGTGGGGAGGGCACACTGGTCGGCGATGAGATTGAGGAAGGCGGTATAAAGAAGGCGATTGCTGTTCCTGTCTTGGAAGTGGCGAACGAAGAAGGGGCGGAAGGGGGTCACGAAGAAGGGTTCGAGGAGATTCAGGATGAAGAGGTGCTTACCTTCTTACCAGCCTCGAGCTCGTTCTGGTCCTACTTACCCCGTTGTAGGATGATCTGCGAAAGCAAGCTTCTGCCTTTATGGGCGTCTCAAAAGACACCACCCGATCAGCCGAGGATGTCATCAGCACACCACTGCCTGGAGAAACCCTGGCGATGTTCTACGCTCGATCTCGTCCGTGTCCCTCTTTGAAAGCCGGTTTATTTTACTGAACGAAGGTATCAATGGATGATATAGGTGAACATTGGACGAGCAAAGTTTTCGGAACCAGTGATAATCGGGGAAAGGAATTGCGCCGAGATGGTTTTGCGCTGGCAGAGGAGCGATATGGTACGTTCCATCGGCTCTGGCACTCATTTTCCGCTCGTTGTGAATGAAATTCTTGATGATACCATTTTAGCGGAGTACAAACCAATCCTCGAAAAAGTCGAGAAGATTCTCGCAGAAGCTGGGTTGGACGAAGATGAGATGAGGCGCAGCGCCGTCACTGGAACTGGGGGTAATTTCGCTGAGCAAAGTCGAAACCGAAGGTGATACAGTATGTATTGTCCAGAAAATAAATAAATATTCGACAGTAAATATTTGTGGGCACGTGGCGTTTGCACAATTCATCGAAAATCAAAGCTCGTTCTCTCCCACCCACTCGCACTCCAATGAGCTTAACGAAGGGTATAACGGTGGACATCGCCACGCCCGACTTCGGCCTTCGAGATGGACCCAACACGATCGGGATGAAGGCAACGCCGTGTACACGTTGCCATCTCCCACGAATTCCTCTCAACCAGGACTTTAAACAATGTCCAGACTGCAGAAATAAAGCGCGTCTCGCATGCGAAACATATAGAAAGAGAAAGCTGTCGGATAAGCGGGGCCGAGTCACTTTGAATCAGGGCAATTCAACCCCCCAGAATCGGACAGACACGCAGCCGAGCACGAAACTCTTGAAACGACCTCTGGAGGGCAAGGACAGCGAGAAGGCGGCGAAGAGGAGTCGGCATTCGACTGCTGAAGGGGGGGTCAATGCGAAAGATTGGGTACAGGTGAATATGCTTGTTCATTCATAGGTACTCAACAGAGCTTCTCTCAGAATGTTCCCTCAACCTCATCGAGTACGAGGACCGTCTCAACAACTCCCGCCGGTTCTTCTAACCATCGCCAATACCAGGCAGGCTCTCCTGAAGGCGGAGTAAACTCAAAATATCGGGTGCAGGTCAGTCTATTCTCGGTTATTCGCTGGAATTCGCTGGATTTTGACAAAGCACTTTGTCAGGATTCATCCTCATCAACTACGCGGACCATCTCAAGAACCTTAGCGGGCCCATCCAACCACCCCCAATACCAAGCGAGCGTTACTAAAGGCAGAGTTAACACGAATGACCGGGCGAAGGTGAGTTTATTATCGCTCGTTCACTGGGTGCTGACAAAACTTTCAATTAGGATGTTTCCTCATCCTCATCGACTACGAAGGCAATTTCAAGGACCCTCGCCGGTCCACCTACCCATCCCCAAAACCAGGCGAGCATTACCACGCCAATCTCCTGGTTCTCTCGCTGACGCACTGCTCTAGATCCCCCAGGGCCCTCCCCTCACTATGCCTCCCCGTAATCCATATTTGCATGGTGAACATGTAGTCAGTCGTTTTGCTCGTAATCCCGCGGGTGGATTCATCTAAGCTATTACCTCTTAGCGTTTCCCCTCCACAACACAGT